TTCACGCGAGATATAGCTTTTTTTAAGAAATGACGGCGGCCATTTTGAATTCAAGATAGTGCCCGAAAACGCCTTGGATCACATGCATCACGTTGTTGTATGAAATAGTAACCCAAATTACGTCTGTCAGTAAATTTTCAAGTCTGTACGAAGATTATTAACGCGAGATATAGCTATTTTTTAAGAAATGACGCGGCGCCATTTTTAAATTCAAGATGGCGGCCGAAAACGCCTTGGATCACATGCATCACGTTGTTGCTATGAAATAGTAACCCAAATTACGGTCTGTCAGTAAATTTCAAGGTCTGTACGAGATTATTTAACGAGATATAGCTATTTTTTAAGAAATAACGGCGGCCATTTTTGAATTCAAGATGGCGGCCGAAGTTGTAGGTGGATCGCGTGTGTCCTCTTTTAAAATGAAAGAGCATACAAAAGTATGCAAGTGTACCAATTTTCACACTTTTTTCACAATCTTGAACAAGGAAGTTTAGATGATACTTCTGGACCTATATCCTGGACGGTACTATTAGTAAGCCGGATTGTTTATAATTGGATCCCAACGAACATTCTTTTGAGAAGGTTCCTGATACCATCCCTGTGCATTCCACTGTTTCGGCGTGTATGTGAACACATTTGGGGCTAACAGGGTTTACTAGAATCCCACCACTCCACCACAGAGTCACCGCAGTAGAGGTTAGATGAGCGCTGTCGCTCTGCGGCACTTGTTACTTATGAATATCGTGGTTGTATCATGTCTTTGACGTCATAATGACGTCAGCCGCTGCTTACTACACATGTACGTGGGCAAGCAAAAACGCTCTGACGGTTCACATGTACCGTTATATGGAGACATGAGCATGTACACAGGTGGCACATAGTGTTAGCCATCGAATAAAGTTGAAAACGAAAAATCGATGAAATTTCATGCACAACGTGGAGAGTATCCTTAACAACGGTTTTTCTGTTGACTTCTGTTGCATGCAATTTGCGTTATAAATAATGTTGGTCAAGCAGTGTAAATCTCACTTAGCAGTGAAATTGGTTGGTTTATGTTTTTGTGACATTTGTAATAACATGACCTGTGTAAATTGTTTCATGGTGGGGAAGTACATTTTTTGTAAATATTTTTAATAATCGTTCATGATCTACACTGTTATTCCATCTATATGAAACCAACTAGCTAGCTATTACCATCACGACTGGGTTCCTCTGCAGGCTTGCTTGTTTCCGAACCTCATACCAGCTGATCCTAACCTGTATGAGGAATCTGTAATCAGTCAAGGTGAAAGTAACTGTGAGGGAGAAGATGAGCTCAGACTTAGAGAGCAGTAAGTAACAGTTACTGTTTCAAACCTGTTGTTCTCATTCTCATTTGCATACATCTCTGCATGTCAAGTCTGCATACAATCTTTTCCTATTTTCTTGTTAGGGTGGTGACTCGTTTTAATCTTACCTGTTTAAATACATCTGTTTTACTACAACTTTTTTTATACTGCACCTTTCCCTATTCCCATGTCTCATTGTATGTGGAAGTTCTGATGTAAAGTTATCCTAAATTTTAAAGTCGGGGAGCCACTGCTTCAATTAATTATATTGAAGACGTGTTATATTCCCAGGTTGGTGTTCAGAAAGCAGCCATCACTAGACACGCTTTTCCACCGGCCTGTTAACTCTCCTACATCTACATCTGCGGAGTCAGCCCCTGAGCTTTGTCCAACTGAAGCAGATCCTGGTTTCATTAATTGGAGTGAAGATCAATTGTACGAAGCATGTGAAAATGAATTAGTGGTAAGCTAAGCACTAACTGCGATCCTATGTCACTATTGTCTGTTAAAATATGTTAATTTAATATGTGTATGGTGGTGTAAAATTACCTTGCCTGTTTTGTGGTTATGCTCTCATGTTGTACTAGGTAAAAGAGACGAGTCATCCAGATAGTAGTTACGTCACGACTCGGAGACAAGAAGACATTGATAGGTTTTTGGCGCACATTCCAAGCGTTCTACAAAGGTATCATTTATACATTGTCACTAACAGGACATGGGACCTGGAAATTTTATGTTTTAAAATCTCCTGATAAGGCAAATTTGTATGGTGGGTAGCAGGAAATTTCCTGTTTATCCGTAACTTATGCCACAATTAAGCTGCTGACGCGCATATAATGACTATATGAAACGTTTTAAAATGCCACTATTTTATTAGACCTTTACTTAGATATTCATAGCAAGTGTCAAATGCCGCTAGTAATGTTTGTTCTATTATGCTAATATATTCTTTTAAAACTGATGTAGTTTCAACAAATCAAAATTTTTCTCAGGTCACAGTCACAGGATTTGCAAGAGAGATATGTACTTCCAACCTTACAGAGGGCAAAGAGTATTCCTGATTCACTGGACTTTGATGAGTATGCCTTTGTAGTCGGAAATCGAATGTGAGTCAATCGGAAGTACATAGGAATGATAACATGTAAACATTGTTTTTCATGTGGTGTGCATCAGTCAGCCTCAGTACTTGCTTAATTAGCATTTGCAGTTCAACAGTTTATCTTGCATGATAAAGCATGTGTCTCATAACAGTAATAATAATTTTCTCATCTGGAAGGCCATTAATTATGAGCTGTTACTTCTTGTATAATGTTAAACAGGATGGCAGAGAATGACAGAGAGTGGGTGAGAGATATATGGAACCAATGGTTTGATGAGGTATTTCCACTGCCAGAGAGTGAAAGTAGTGCCATCGAGATTGAGGGATGTCCGAAGTTGCTAGTGCAGACCAATGCTGATGATAGCAGGCAGACAGTACTACTTTCTAATGCTGATAAAGAAGGCCAGTTGACAGTGGTATGGAAACTCTAGCGTGTACTTGTGTACGTGTGCGCATGTGTGCATGTGTGCATGCATGTTTGCATATTTTTGTGCCTGCGTGCATGCGTGTATAAAGTTGTTCATGCTTTTGCGTAAGTGCGTGAGCATGCTAGTTTATGAACTGTAAGGTATACTAAGAGTACTTAAATATACTAAAAATCTATGTAGCAGTAGAATGAAACATTCATTATAGAAGAAACATTAGGTATACGTAACGTCATTAAATTTGCTTCTTTTATCTGTTTAAAATCTTATTATATGAAATTTATTATTACAGATCTAATTATTTGTTGTGCCACACTCTTTTATTGCAGAAGGTGCAAGAAGAGCTGAACGAATTAAGCAGCAAAATTGATTCTAGTGAGGGCCTTGTTGCCATTCATCTTTGCCGACGTGGAGCTATCTATCTGAAATTGAATCAACTGGAAATGGCTTATCAAGACATAACTAAGTACTGCTGGATTTTTAGTCATATCACAGTTGCCATATGCACGTACATTCTGTGTCAAAAATGCATTTTCAAGGCAAATCATTAATTGAATATTTAGTAAGCCAGACGAGTACGTGGCACTTTCTTTAGTATGCATGAAATGTGTTATAATTGAAATTTCACCATTAGTCAGCATTAAGTAACTAGAGTATCTTAGATATGTAGGCTATTAAGGTATTGCTCATCTAATTATTTTATTTTTAATGGTATGTAGATCTCTTAAACTAGAGCCACAGTTGATGGATGGTTATTGGCACCGACACAATCTTTTGCTGAAGCAGAAAAAACCTAAAGCTGCCATTGAAGATCTAAACAAAATCATATCTGGAACTAGCCAACCCATCAAAGCTTACAAATCTAGGTAAAATTAAGCACTAAATATGTTTTAGTGACGTGAAGTATTATGAAACCATTCAGTTTAAATTGCTGTCTTCTTATGGTTTAAATGTTAAAAGTATAGTCATGTCAGTTTGTGCTAGGTAAAGTAAACAATATTCCAAATTGTTGCTCCATGTTTCTTCAATCTTATTGCACCCATGTATGTCTGTGTGTTTGCATGTGCATGGACATGTAATGTTTCGAGTCAGCTGAAATGTCTTGCTTAAAATTGTATCTGGAAATTACTAATCATGGCACATGAATGCCTAAGTAATGCCTGCTATATTACAAATTGCAGAGGTGATGTATACGAGAAAATTGGTGACATTTCGATGGCGATACTAAGTTATGACCAAGCTATTGCACTTAGCCCTACTGATTATGAAAGTCACCTCAGAAGAGCAGAACTCTACATATTAGTATGTTAATACCACTATATGTATTTATATCACTATCATGACACCAGCTTAAGCTAAACATCAGTGATATATGATTATAATATTGTACTTCGTTCGATTAAAACTCATTTTAATCCTATATGAGACCTTTTCCAACTAAATATAAATACTCCCCTGCTGGTGAAAAAGGGAGATAACCTAGCTAGCACTGCACGTTTGAAACTGTTAGGTTGGTCCGTGAGAGTAACCTCTTAATTAAGTTGTATAACTCTGCTTCCAGAATGGACAACTGTCGTTGGCACACGATGACTTGAAAACAGCCGTGAAACTCTCACCAGCAAGAACGGAGGCACGCATGAAGCAGGTGGAGCTTTATCTCAGTGATAGGTAATGCCATTTTCTTACTATGTGATAAAATTACAAAAATATACCAACTATGCTTATTCTTTCATTATAAGATAGCATATAGGTATAGTGAAACATTGTTATTTCATTACTACAGGTGACAGTCACATTTTTAATATTCTTTATGAATATAAAAGTAAATACGTCAGTGATTTGTTTAATGTAGCTTTCATTCGGATGAGCATTAAGGAGTAAACATTCATACACTGTATAAATAGTCGTCACTTTCTATTGAAATATACAATGATATATCATATAAGTAGCTAGCAATTTTAATGGGCTGTACTGTTGTATAGAGAGTTCGAAAGACGACCTTTAGTCTAATAAGCATTCCATGTAGGCAGTGGCAGTTGGCTGTCAGTGGTCTGACAGTAATTCTGGAGCGAGACCCCTACAATACCAATGCTCTGCTGCTGAGAGGACAGGCACTGATACAACAGGAATCTTGGCAAATGGCTCTGCGAGATGTCTCTGCTGTGGTGCACCTCGATCCGTGTAGTAGTAAAGCATTTTACCATCGAGGCTGCTTACTTCGAAAGTTAGTACAATAGGCATTTATGTAAATCTATGAACTAAGCCATAGTTGGTATGACTGATCTGATAGTTGTTATGTTACAGGTTTAATGTAATTATTAATTTTTGAAGTTGAACTTTCAGGGTTGATTCAAGGCGGGCCTTGCAAGATCTTAGCGTATCCTTGCTACTGGATCCAGGACCTGATAATGTGATGGCATATTTTCACCGTGCAATCATCTATCATTCTATCAGCAAGTACAATGTTTTATCATTTCTCTTTGATCAATGTATGTAGTTCTAATACGTGAACATGCCGTACTGTTTTAATTTAAAGTATAATAAAACTATTAGTGACGGTTCCTTGTTTATCCTAATTTTTATATGACTGTAAGATATGATATAAGAAAATGTTGGAAGATGCAGGAAATATACTATAATTTCAATGCATGTGTCTATAAAACATGGGACAGATTCTTTATAGTTTCTCAAAGGACAGTATAGTGTCACATATGTATATTGATTAATGAAAATTTAATGCCTTAATTATTTGTGAAGACCTTTCCTGTCATGCTATAGCTTTTAGTTATTTTAATTCTACTCTGTGTTTATAATGTTGCAATGTTACTGAAGACTTGTTTGCAGCAGGTTATTTTTTATTGATTCTTAGCAAATTTTAGGAAGAAGATGTTGGAATCTTTCTGCATATGTGTTGTAGGTACGAGGCATCTATTCATGATTTCATACAGGCTGTTAACCTGGACCACTCACTTGTAGCAGCTCTAGTAAACATCGGCATCATCTACATGCTGAAAAAGAAAGACTGTTATAAGTATGAGTTTAATTACTATTTGTTTTTATATATGTATATATGATAACATATCACTTGGTTTATCATCTATTCGACTTGCCTGTTGTTTTATGCATGTTCATGTTCATCGTAAATATTTGCATTTAGGGCACTAAAGTACTTCATGATGGCTGTCAGGGAAGACCCAACAAACATCAGAGCAAGATTATGCCGTGCGAAGGCTTACAGACTGATGAAGATGCACAGAAAGGCGTTGTCAGAAATCACACAGATTATACACTTACGGCCTGATGTTCTGCAGTATTACATGTATAGGGTGGGCTATGATGAACAAATTGTTGCAAGTGTATCAACTTGAAGGAGAATATTTTGATCACACTATTTTGACCCCCAAGTTTATTGTAGGGTGGTGAACATTTTTTATTGATATGGGAAACATTCCATTGACTCATTATGTATATAATATATTGCATTGCCATTAGGGTGACCTGCTATTTGAGTTGGGAGACCTAGAGCTGGCAAGATTCTGTATAGAACAAGCAGCAGAGCTCAACCTTGGTCTCCGCAACTCACCCTCCCAGGAAGCAGTTGTGCAATCGTTCCTTGGAAACCATGCTAAAGTAAATATATAAATATATATTATAAGTAATTATAAGTAAGTTACAAGTAGAAATGTGTAAGTATAATATATCACTGTAGTTACGCAATTAGCCAAACGCCTATGTGCATGGCATCATTTATGTATTTTATTGTTATAGAACTTCATGTTACTACTGCTTAGAACAAAACATCTAAATTCCAGTACATGTGTTGAAGTGATAAAGCCCATGTGGTATATTTCTTGCTTTTTTTTGTTATTACAGGCCAGTGAAGTGTTAAAAATGGCCTTGCAAAGACAGCCACAAGCACACCACTGGCTGCTCCTTGGTAATGCACAAATGAAGGCTGGAGATTTTGTGGAAGCAGTTGAGAGTCTGGAGCAGGCATTGCTCGTGCATGTATGGGTGACTGCTGATACCTTACATAATATCTGATAATATTGAGCTCTAATAAACACTGTGATGATAATTAATGTAGAATTGGTCAAACCTCCCCCTTCACACATGTAATTTGTGGTATTAACACACATGGACCCCCATGAATAATATTGCTGGTTTTACTATGATTGCAGCATAAATTTCTGTAAGCCTTATAGCTGACGGAGGCTACGTTGATAACTGTTATTTAGTATCAATGCATGTGAATGCTTATATATAAGTATATGCAAGGTTGCATGTGATATAATTGTTGATTTATATTATTTTAGGGCTCCAAGTGGTCAACGCACCAGGAATCAGTGCAGAGGAAGGCAGCACAGCAGCTGACCACAGCAGATCTGACAGATGCACACTACAGCTTGGGCATTAGCCACATAGAGCTGGGGAACCACAACCTTGCGCTGGACTACCTCAATAATGCTCTCACAGGCAACCAAAGATTTGCATTAGTAAGTATCTTATTTCTTGTCAAAGTCAGTGAAATTCTTCTTATACATTTACTTGGTAATTAACTTATGACATGGTAACCATTTTAAAATGCTGTACAAGCAACCATGCTACCCACTTAATAATGCATGAATAACGATTGACACTTCTAGAAATTATTCCAGTATGTAAATATAAAAAAATATTAACTTGTAATTACGGGCAAAATTAATATGTATGGTAAGTAAAACTCAAATGTTTTCATGGAATGTAATTGTTAAAGTACACTATTGTGTTTCCTATATAAATAGAATTGGAAAGTATTGTATTAACTGATATTCACGTAAATTAAATATATATATGCAGGCAATCGGCAAACACTGGGTTTTATCAAACGAGTCATATTGCACACTGCCCTGTTATTTTAGGCTCATTTCCACAAAGGTGAATTGGAGTTGGAACAAGGGAAAAAGAAGGGCATGTTCAGCACTAGTAAAGCATTAGCAGTCAACCCAAGTCTGTTTCAGGTGAGATATCCAATAATACGTACATATATCAACGTCGTTTTTAATGAAATTATCTCAATATGCTGGACAAGTGGGTTTTTTCGAAAGTTTATAAAATGGACAAAGATAGGTCTCTGTTGTGTCCGTCATATATGTCCAAAGGCATTCCTAAGTGGTTGATACATTTCAGGCCTTTCTCAGCAGAGCAGCATTCTATAGTCTCGAAGGGAAATACAGCAAGGCCATACTCAACTGCAACGAAGCTATAAAATTGCGACCTGATTGTACCCGTGCATATTTATACAGGTAGACCCTGCTAGATTCTAGCATCACAATGTATAACCATATGCTCCAATATTGGCACAGTATGCTATATATATATATTTTATAAATCTATTATGTTTCAAACGTCTTAAGCACGAATTGGGATACATGTGATGATATTATCAAGTCATATCACCTGGTGGGACTGTGGGATATTATTCACTTACATTAAAATCATCCTGAAGATAAGCAATATGACAATATTCTAATTAATTAACTTACTATATTGCAGAGGAGCACTAAAATACAAAATTCAAGCATATAAATTGGCTGTGTCAGATCTTACTAAAACTATTGAACTGGACAAGAAGTGCGCTGTTGCCTACTTCAATAGAGCGATATGTCTTCAACAATTAAAAATGTATCAAATGGTAAGAACTTTATTTTAAATAACTTTTTAGTTGGCTTTGAAAGCCGTTAACGTTATTGGTTAGTAGTGTGGTTATTTAACCATGAAATTCAAGCTTGATGAACATTTGCATGCTTTTATTTATAAGCTCGTGATAAGTCTGCATTTGCATGCTATCACACACTGCCAGTATAAGAAAGTATAAAAAGTACAATTACGCCGTATTATTTAGCTTTAGCTAAGAATGCGTAAGGAATTATGAAACACATATAGTTATATGTTGTTGAGCTCATTGGAATGTTATTGTTTGACCCTACAGGCAGTGCAAGACTTCAGCTTGGTGTTGTTGCTAGACAAAGCAGGCAAGCTGAAGCTTAGAGCTGTGACAAACAGAGCTCTTCTCTACCTCCACATCGGCGATACTGAGGCAGCACTGTACGACATGGTACTAGCTCATGATATGTGCCCATATGATCCCGTCATAATCCACACACTCGGGGTGTGCTATCACAGGTAATGTAGCACATTGGATGTGTGCTAGGCAGTACTCACTCTAAATAAGTGCCACCACTAGTAGGCACTTGCTATGCACTACTATATACACACACTGTGTATACCACTGATGTTTAACTATCCTACACTTAGGTAAAATAATGAATATAAGCTTAAATTATTCAAGCTATAAAAAAAATATTTTGTGATTTTGCATATTGTGAATGAGTAATATGTAAATATATAAACTATCGGATTTCACATTTCACCATATCGCAGACTTCTTTACATGAATTTTTCCTAATTCCAAGTCAAATATTTGAATTGCATTTTTTATTCACACCATGTCTGCACAGGCTTCAGCAGCTGCAAACTGCAGTGCTCTGTTTCTCTGATGCTGCCAAACTAGACAAATTCATGCTCGAAGCTTACGTGGGTCGTGCAAATGCGCTCATGGATTATGGATCTGACAGTGCCCAGTTTTGGGCAAGGTGAAAATTTTATTAACGTCATAGATTTCGTGATTAAGAAGATAATTGAGACGTTATTGTTCTAAATGCAAGCTCAGCCATGCAATATACATACAGGGACATTATACATACTTTATACGAGGTATTATTACAGCATTATTGTCTATACAGAGTTTATTAGTGAGATCAGTAATTCACATATAAGAAATAGACTTGGTGTGACAGATGGTATTAATATGCTGTATGGACATTAAACCTGTTGCAGGAAAGACTATGAACGAGTCTTGAGGCTCCAACCAACCTACCTTCCAGCAAGGATTGCTCTAGCTTTTAACCTGCAGGCTGCAGGCAAGTTCCAGAAAGCTTGGAATCATTTATCTATTGCCGTCAGCCTAGATCCAGGTGTGTAAATATAGGGTAACACAATCAGTTGCAGTTGGTAGGTACAAATGGGCTTCATGAAGTTTTTCTTAAATCTATATTTTTCGATTACATGGTCAGCTGCAACTCATAGTATGCCACTAGTGGTAACTATAGTGTAACGTATATTTCCCTGTAAATTTTTAACAGACATATCATCAATGATTAAATCTCACTTGTTCCTGACAGGATATGCCCCGGCATTGGAAGCACGTGCAGTTGTCTGCTTGCAGATGTCTAACAAATTCGCTGCCCTGCAGGACATGAACACGGCTGTTCATTTGTCTCCTAGCCCAGCACACTTGTCAAACCGTGGTGTCATACAGCAGGTATGCGGTTTAAACATTTTTTGTGAATAAACTAGGATATATATATATATATAAATAAATATATATATATATATATTAAGTAATTATATAAGTGCCAGAAACGGACTTAAAAAGGGTAATCTCACAGTGCAGCTATAACATCAGTCTGCCTGCAGAACCTAATCAGAGCATAATGTGATCTGCAGAGTATTGGTGACATGAGGAATGCAGTCGAAGACTTTCAGGCTGCAGTGAGAAAGGATCCCACACACGCACTAGCTCACTACAACCTGGGCAACGTGTATTTATCCAACCGTCAGTACAAGCAGGCTGCTGCTGAATATACCATGGCACTTGAGAAGAAACCTGCGGACGATGCGATGTTTATGAACAGGGCTCTTGCTAAGGTGCGATTGAATGTAATTGGATTAATAAATAACTACACTTGCGTGATGTATTTCTTAGTTACTACTGTTATTATTTTTGTAATCGTGTGCATTTTTTGCCAATAGGTCATGTTGAAAGACACAAGCGGGGCACTTGATGACTTAGAAAAGGCTGCCAAACTGGCTTCACAGAATGGATCCATTTACTTCAACAGAGGCAACCTGTATTATACATTACAGCAGTATGAACTAGCAGAACTGGACTACAGCACAGGTATTATGTGCTATAATTTCATGCTGCAACATGTAAGACGTGTGGTATCGGCTACATTTTTAGCAGTTACTATAAATATGTCTACACAGATTAAATATATAGCTGACTATACATGCTAGGTACCGCATGGTACATGCTGATCAGGTCATATGTTTGAAGTATCTATAGGTCATTTACTACTAGCAAACATTCACAGCCAGCCCAAAGGCTATGTGCAATCATGTGTTTATGCAGGTAACAGTAACTAATATGAAACTTGTTTGTGTAGTATTAATGTACGTAGTACTGACATTTTTCTGACTTTACTGTATTTCAGCCCTGGCTTTGCAGCCTGGAGATCCTATATTGCTACAGTGCAGATCCCTAGCTCGAGGTAAGCTTCACAGATTCACTGATGCCATGGTAGACCACCAGAGTGCACTCTGTTCAGTCGAGTAAACCGATTATATGGCGGTGAAATAAAAAGATGAAAATGTGTAGAAAAGACATCTTTGTTCAACCCATAAGCTTCAGATAGACATGATATACTCATCACGTCATGATTTAGACATTCTAACAGCAAGAGGCAATCTGAATAGTCCTAGTGATACACACATTAGTTTTACCATTGTTGTCTGCTGTTCTATTGGATATGTCAGTTTGGGTTATTTTCATTTATACATCCAACAGTTTACATATAGGCATTTTGCTTGCAACATTCATATCATATAGAGCTAATATTATCTTTTATTCTATCTAGCGTACTTTAAATTAGTCACACAAACAATGTATTTATCGATGCAAAAACGATTTTATTATCAAGATCTTTTGGTATCCTTATATGGTCACAGAGCTATGAGCAGTACACTCTTTTATTATTCTACAGTGCGTCTAAACCTCTATAAGCTAGTGATTTGTGACATGCATATAATCTTGTTGTCTCATGTTATGAAGATCATCAAGTATGGATTCAAGTTGCATTGTTCTAATGTAAACTATCGTACATAGCAACTACTACTCCTTATAATAGTATATGAGGTATATTGGGGCAACAAGAGCACCACCAATCTCTCTGGTTCATGTACTCTCCTTATCAATAGCAGCCTATATATATATATATAAATATATATATATATATATATATATGTATATATATACACATATATACCATTGCCAGCTAATATAAAGTTTTATAATAATATAGTATCTATAGTATTGTAACTATTGAAAGTTGCTGTTACAAATCTATGCACAATTGTAGTATATATAATCTTGTCTAGTGATCAGTTGTTGTTTTTCAATTCAAACTGTATTGATTAATACTCATACTGCATTAACTATATGCACTTCAATAGTGAGGTTACAATGTGCTATAATGTAACTTCCATACAATAAAAGAGCAAGTTCCTTTAAAACCTTACATAATGAATTAATGAAGGTGTGTACACGTGTCATTTTCATTGAAATAGTCGAACGTTGTAAGCCTAAACAAACTACATAATCTGTGGAAATGTGTGGAATTTGTAGGTGGGCAAATACGTATAAAACAGCCTATTTGCGCAGGAGGCCAAATAGTCCATTGGGATTGCAAGCTCCCAGACAACTACGCTCGTCATAGAATTTGTTCCTGTTTCCACCGCATCCTCCGAACGCGAATTCCTCACACTGTCCGGTGTGCTGGTTGTAGTGCCAGCGAGTGAGATTCATTGTGCACGGTCCTTCGTCGATATCTATGGTGCAGAGGACGTTGAGTGGAGGCCGGGCTATGTGCCAGCCACAACGGTCGATGCAATCTGCCCGCATCGCAAAGTTGTTGTCGTTGCCGCCGCAGCCGCTGTAGACAAAGCGCTCGCAGCGCTTGGTGTCCGCGTTGAAGTACCAGCGTTTCTCGTTGCCATCACATGTGCCGGAAACGCGATCCTGCGTGCAAATGGGGTCCAGGCGTGTTGTCGAAGGGCTTGTTCTGTTCGTCTGCCCTGCAGAAATACAAGGGGAGGGAGCCTATTAGAACTGGTGTTCTAAGCATCTTAGTTTGGTGTAGGTATTTGTAACATCACTTAAAGTTGTAATGTAGAAATATAGATGTATATAGAATATATAGAAATGCGACAGTGTTAATGATCTGGGTCTTCCTGGTTTTATCAGCCGGGATCAATTGGCAGTAAACGAATTATATAGTAACCCCCAATAGTAAATCTACAATGAAACGCTAATAACTTCTTATGAAAATGATAATCATGAAAAATTAACACATTTTAATAGTCGGTTTATAGGTGCACCTTGGTCACAGGATCGTGGATAAGCTAGTTGTAGGTCTGGGTTTGCTTCCATTGCACATCTCACTTCGCACGGGTTGCTATACGTTTTACCATCACTGCCACACTGTGGGTTGTACTCCCGGGTGCAAATGCATGGTGCTACTGGTGTACCTGTTTCTGGAACGAAATGTTTAACAAATCTCTTCTCATATAGTGTTATCAACATTGCCCAGTTCCACTCAGTTGGGTGAACAAAAATCTCAATCGCGTGGTACACCATACTCGGAATAGCATTGAAATTAAATCTGAATTCTGATGTTTAAATTTTCTCTCAAGTATGTGCGTATTCTAATAGACATCTAATAAACTAGCTTAATAGATGTAATGGGCAAATATACGTGTGAAACGTGTATATCGAATGAATTTTACAATGAGTCATTACCAAACATTACTCATAAACTATATTTTGACAGTTTTTCTGAATTGTTGTTTGTTTATGAAAATAGTTAGAATGGGTTGAAATCAAAGTGATATATTGTAAATTTATACCTCCATTGACGAGTCTAATATTCTGCACTCCCGATCTGGGCTGTCTTAGAGAACAACAGACTGCTGGAGCATCTGCGCGGTCAGTATTGCAGGTAAATCGAGCAGGACATGGGCTATTCTGAGAACATGTCATGGCATAGCCTGCATCCCGTGAGTCTTCCAGGGGTGTGGTGCCCCCGGGGCAGACCTGGGCATCTGCTCTGGTTTTGACTGGCTGTTCGAATGGTCGCTGACCGGGTGCAAATCCTAACAAGTATAAATAATTTGATTCACCTCAGACATGATGATGTAATTAAAGACTAATACATAGACATAGTCTGTATTAGTAATATTCAAATTAAATGAGAAATATAGTTGACTTGATCAATATAAACATGCACCATGTAAGAATGTCATACCTTGGTCACATGATCTAGCATAAGCTAGCTGCAGGTGTGAGTTAGTTTGTTTGGCGCAGTCGAGTTCACACGGGTTGCTGTACGTTTTCCCATCGCTGCCACACTGTGGGTTATACTCCCTCGTGCAAATACAAGGAGCTGATGGTCCAGGTCCTACAACATGAAGTGCTATTAGCAGGCATGCCTATTAAAATGGAAATTTTCACCTTCATAGCCAGTCTGTGTTTTAACATGAGAATTGTTTAAAAGCTGCCGTGCGCATGTGTATCTGATAAATACAGCTAGCGAAAAGCCACAACACGTGTTTATTCGTTGTTGCGGGCTTCTTGTACAGGAAAATGAGTTATTGCGTTTGTCCTCACCTTGAGGAAAAGTAGGTGGCTTGACATGTGGTGGTGAGATCTGTGGCTGCGGGCAGCACACGGCTGGTGCATCTGCTCTCCTTGTCTCACATACATAGTTGGTTGGACAGGGGTTGCGTTGGGAGCATGTCCTGGCAAGTGTTGGATCACGTTGGTCAGAAAGTGGCGTGTTACCGCCTGGACACACTTGGTCATCGACCCGTGTGCTTATTGAACTTGTAGATGTTGGAAGGCGTCCACTGCCTGACCTTGGCTGTCTTAACGAACAACAGACAGCTGGCACATCCTGCCGGTCAGTGTTACAGGTAAATCCACTTGGACATGGGTTGTTCTGAGAGCATGTCTTGGCATAACCTTCATCACTGGGATCTTCCAGAGGGGTGGCACCACCAGGGCACACCTGTTCATCAGCTCGTGTTTTCACCGGACGTTGGAATGGATCAACGGGAGTAGAACCTTTTAAAGATGAGAATAATTTTTGTTGTATCAGGTTAATGCAGTATTGTTAGCAGTAAACGATACACGCTGCCACACTGTGGGTCATACTCCCTCGTGCAAATACAAGGAGCTGAGTGTCCAGGTCCTAAAACATAAAGTGCTATTAGCAGGCATGCCTAATAAAATAGAAACTTTCATCACATAGCCGGTCCTATCTTAATACGAGAATCGTTTAAAAGCTTTGCCGCGCGTTTCTATCATATAAATACATGTTTAGGAAATTCTCTTAGCAGCATTACTAACCTGTAGAAGCAGGTAAACCTTCAACACACATTTTCGGTACTCTACAAGCTCCCGGAGCATTGCAGCAAAGCTGTCCTTGACTACAGCTTGCGTCCCCAGAACACCGTATGGGGTTGTCCACCGGACAGAAGAACAGATTAGTTAGATCTGGGCATATGGTAGCAACTGCAACAAGCAACACGTTGACATTTAAAATGGTTTTATGGGACTGACATTTAAATTCCCTCAGCAAACATGCGTGTCGGGAAACATTGTTTCCATGTGCGCGTAGTATTATGTAATGATGTAGTGTTGTATGAGTTGCGTATGCCAGGCAATTATAAGGTTATACCGAGTGACAGCCTAAGTCATGCGCTTCATAATAATGTGTTTAAAAGCAAGAAATATACGTGATGCAAAACAGAGCAGCATTGAAAGTTGCAGAATTGCTAGAGCCCGAGGAAAAAATGGTTCTAAGAATCGGCACAAGCAGAAATGAAGCAGCAGAGCGAATTTAGGCAACATTAAGATGTTTGGACTGGTAGAGGAAAACGGGATTTTACAGTGCGAGGGAGTTGAGAAGAGTGTTGAGAGAGAGCGAACGTAAAGGTGTCGGGCAGACTGTTCAGAGAGAGCAAAGGAGTCGGAAACAGCAGCGATAGAGAGCGAACGTGAATATATAGAAAGAGGGGATTATAAGTGTGTATAGTGAATTGAAGTCGTAAATTGTATGCAAATAAGCTAGAGTGTTACAGAGTCATTGATATACATGAGCGTATTGTAACCAGCGGAAGCAGCTAGCGAAAAGCTGCAAGACATTTTGTGATTCGTTGTTGTGGGCTAGCAAATTATTAACATGTTGAGTGCAATCTTGTACAGGAAAGTGAGTTATTGCGTTTGTCCTCACCTTGAGGAAAAGTAGGTGGCTTGACATGTGGTGGTGAGATCTGTGGCTGGCGGCAGCCAGCACGGCTAGGTGCAATTGCTCTCGCTTGGTCTCAGCATAGCATAGTATGGTTGGACTAGGGGTTTGCGTTGGGAGCCATGTGCCTGGGCAAGTGTTTGGATCACGTTGTACAGAAAGTGGCGGTGTTAGCCGCCTGGACACACTTGGTCAATCGACGCGCGTGTGCTTATTGAAGCTTGTAGATGTTTGGAAGGGCGTCCACTGCCTGACCGTTTGGGGCTGTCTAATCGACAGCAGCAGACAGCTGGCAGGCATCCATGCCTGCCGGTCACGTGTTAGCCAGGTAAATCCACTTGACAATGGGTTGGTTGCTGAGACGCATGACGTGCTTCGGCATAACGGCTTCATGCACTGGGATCTTCGCAGAGGGGTGGCACCACCGGGCACAACCTGTTCATCCGCTGCGTGTTTTTCAAGCGCGGGACGTTGGAATGGATCAACGGGAGTAGAACCTTTTAAAGATGAGATAATATATTTGTGTTGTATAGAGTTAAATGCAGTATTGTTAGCAGTAAAGCGATACACGCGCATGCCAGCACTGTGGTCATACTCCGCGCTCGTGCAAATACAAGGAGCTGAGATGTCCAGGTCGCCTAAAACATAAAGTGGGCTATTTAGCATAAGGCATGCCCTAATAAAAATACAAACTTTCAATCAGCAGCGTAGCGGTCCTATCTTAATACTCGGAGAATGACGTTTAAAAAGGCTTTGCCTGCGCGTTTCTTCATATAAATACTGTTTAGGAAATTCTCTAGCAGCGATTACTAAGCCTGTAGAAGCAGGTAAACCGCTTCACACACATTTTTCGGTACTCACAGCTCGCCGGAGCATTGGCAGGCAAAGCTGTCCTTGACATACAGCTTGCGGTCCACAGAAACAGGCCGGCGTATGGGGTTGTCCATCCCGAAGCAGAAGAACAGATTAGTTAGATCTGGGCATATGGTAGCCAATCTGCAACAAGCAATACACCGGTTGACCATATTTAACAAATGGTTTTATGGGAGCTGACATTTAAATTCCCTCAGCAAACATGCGTGTCGGAAAGCATTGTTTCCCATGTGGCGCGTAGTATTCATGTAATAGATGTAGTGTTGTATGAGTTGCGTATGCCAAGTCACAATTTATAAGGTTTATACCGAGTGACAGCCTAAGTCAGCGCTCATAAAAAATAATAATGTGTTTAAGAGCAAGAAATATACGTGATTGCAAAACAGAGCAGCATTGAAAGTTGCAGACAATTGTAGCAAGCCCGAGGAAAAAATGGGTCTCTAAGAATCGGCACAAGCAGAAATGAAAGCTAGCAGAGCGAATTTAGGCAACATTAAGAATGTTTCGGCCTGCGTAGAGGGAAAACGGGATTTTTAGCACGTGCGAGGGAGTTTGAGAAGAGTGTTTGAGAGAGAAGCGAACGTAAAGGTGTCGGGCAGAGTGTTCAGAGAGAGCAAAGGAGTCGGAAACACGCAACGATAGAGAGCGAACGTTGAATATTAGAAAGAGGGATTATAAGTGTGTATAGGTGAATTGAATCGTAAATTGTATGCAAATAAGCTAAGAAGTGTTACGAGTCATTGATATTACAGTGAGCGTAATTGTAACGCAGCGGAAGCAGCTAGCGAAAAGCTGGCAAGACATTTTGTGATTCGTTGATTGTTGGGCTAGCAAATTATTTAAGCATGTTTGAGTGCAATCTTGGTACAGGAAAGTGAGTTATTGCGTTTGTCTCACGCTTGAGGAAAAGTAGGTGGCTATGACATGTTGGTGGTGAGATCTGTGGCTGCGGGCCAGCACACGCTGGTGGGCATGCTGCTCTCCTTGTCTCACATACATAGTTGGTTGGACAGGGGTTGCGTTGGGAGCATGTCCTGGCAAGTGTTGGATCACGTTTGGTCAGAAAGTGGCGTTGTTACACCCTGGACACACTTGGTCATCGACCCGTGTGCTTATAGAACTTGTAGATGTTGGAAGGCGTCCACTGCCTGACCTTGGCTGTCTAACGAACAAACGAGACAGCTGGCACATCCTGCCGGTCAGTGTTACAGGTAAATCCACATTGGAGCATGGGTTGTTCTGAGAGCATGTCTTGGCATAACCTTCATCACTGGGATGCTTCCAGAAGGGGTGGCACCACCAGGGCACACCTGTTCATCAGCTCCGTGTTTTTCACCGGGACGTTGGAATGGATCAACGGGAGTAGAACCTTTTAAAGATGAGAATAATATGTGTCGCATCGGGTGTAATGCAGTAATTGGTTAGAAGTAAACTATACTTCGTATTTACACTCGCAGCTTTGCACGTCTACACAATTAGAACGCAAACCAGCGAGGCATACATAAATTAGACACTTACTACGTTTCTCATACCTCCAGCCATTGTGTTTGCGCGAGTCCTCGATCGTTATCAAAAGCTGTTTTCGTTGGCCACTTGGCTAACACGACCTATAAAATGAACTGTTCACATCTATTCTCATCGTTCTATAATAGGAAGTATTCTCCTGAAGAACGCTCGGCAAGGTCCCAGTCACGCGTGCGTAAANACTGGAAGATCGCCCAGTGATGAAGGTTCTGGCCCAAGACATGCTCTCAGAAGCAACCCATTCCAACGTGGATTGTCCATGTAACCTGACCGGGCAGATGTGCCCAGCCTGTCTTGCTTGCGATCGTTTATGACAGTCACACAAGATTCAGCGACGCCAGAGCGCTCTCTTGCGCACAGCGCACCAATACACTATAGTAATAGAGGCACAGCACAGGGCGTTACTGTGGACAGACTAGACAATAGTAGCTGGGCGTCAAGGTAGCTTCACGACGCCCTATCTTACGACTGTCGAACCCACGTGATCTAGCGAACCTTTGCCAACGGACATAGCTTACCCATACAATTGTAAAATGTTCCCTGCATTTAAAATGCTGAGAAATTACGCAGGTTACATCGCAGAACTCCCGAACACGCGCCGTAGTCACAATAGCTATAATGTAACAAACACGCGTGTGCGAGTGCCTGCCTCCGATATTCCATTTCGAGCCCGCTAAGCTAAAGCCAAGCATAAAGCGCAGCCGGCTGAAAGGTGCGATATGATATTGGTTTACTGAGCCTATCCTAATTTAACCTATATTTCAAATCTTAATTTAGGGTCAGGGTTAGGGTTAGGGTAGGGCAGGTGTTAGGGTAGGTAGGGTTCAGGGTTAGGGCACTTTTTCCCGGGTTTTGCCATCATTCTTTTAATCATATCGTAACAATATATTAAAATTAGAAGTGCCAGTAAACACGGTACTACTGACTCGCACCTTTCAGCCGGCGTGCGCATAAAGCGCGCGGGCGTCACACACACACAGCTCGTTCATTGTGGCTAAAAAATCTGAGTAGCAGCCGGTTGGGATTTCCGGAATCTATTAAATGTTAAGAAAAAACCTTAATGTTCAACTGAATGACGGCACTCGGTTCAACTTTCGACAGCGGAGTGAAAATGCCGAAAATTTCCATCTTCGATGCGAACTGATCGGCCGGGCATTTCATTATTTACGAAAAGTAAACAGGCTGGCGAAAGACAGGTAGGTAGATAACTGTTACGCGGTCGTACGGGCGCCCCATTCATGTCCATCCAACGAGAAGGCGGGCTTATTCTGATTACGGAGATGCGAAAGATGCGATCTGAGCGAACGCGTAGATCGCAAGTGCGGCCTTACACAGCGTTCCTTTTCGTAAATTTGTTGCAAACTATCGTAGGAAACCGTGTCTCCAACTAGGGCAGAATGCCCTAGTTTTCTGACCGAAAATTGAAAGATGCTGAGATCGGCGATTTGGGCCCATGGTCCGCCCATATTTAAAAATATCAAAGACTGGTGCCGCGTAGGCTGTGCTTGGAAGACCAAATGTTGTCAATCCTCGCGCGCCTCGGCGCATCATGGCCGCATTCACGTCTAGTCCCTATCTACCTATTATCCATGGAAACTTTTCAGAGCGTTTGATTGTGCCCCGTACGTGTGTAGTGACCCATACTTGCCCCTTGAAACACTTGATGGCCGTCCCTTTTCAGCGATATTCATCTATCCAGAATCCATCGGCATCAACCCTGTCCACAGCTGTCATCTGCCGGCTGAATGTAATTGCTACGGCTGGTCATAAATAGCATTTACACCTCGTTACACTTAGCGTACATCAGGTCCCCGGTTTGTTTGATCTACGTAAGCTTAGTGACGGTCATGCAGTACGCAGCGGCTCGCGGGTTTGCTGAAATGCGATGGTTACCCGTCGTACATTTGCTCTCTAATTTCTTAATGAAGTTTCACATAAGAACATTTACCCGCCACCCAAGTTTAAGTATATTACGGTATTTCATCGTGGATATGGTCGCAGTAAGTACTAACAGTAGCTGTTCACATACGTTCACCGGCCTTTTAGTTGCATCAGAGGCGGTCCGATCATTGTGAAAGTACAAAAGATGTGTCTGATTCTACTCCGTCATTCTGCCACAGGTAGCGCACAATAACATAAATGGATATTTTGTGTGATTACAACTCGGAATAATTTTATACTAGTTTTAATGGTAACACATAAAAAAGCGGACTTTTATAAGTTAGTCGTTGATATTCCATAAATTTACAATCTGAACATACGATGTAAATTTAGGCAGTTTCTTTCTCTTTTTTCGATACAAAATTGTATCGATTATATATATATATAGGCCTATATATGTATATATATCTAGGATATAATTTTGTCTAATATTGTATGTAATTTTTTACAATATGGCCGCGCTGATGTCATCAAAAGGTTAGAACGAATAAACGAGAACACTATATTATGTAGTGGTAAGAAACATAAAGTAAGCAGAACACCTAGAACCTTATTGAAACCTGTGACTGCTTGTGTATACGAAGAGCCCACATATAAAAATGTCGTGATTCCTGTAAAACCCCATCCTTCAACGTCCTAGGGAGATCTTAGGAGAGAGAGAGAGAGAGAGCAGATTAGCGCGCCCGTCAGGACTGATCGTCTCACAGAGGGGTGGCACCACCAGGGCACACCTGTTCATCAGCTCGTGTTTTCACCGGACGTTGGAATGGATCAACGGGAGTAGAACCTTTTAAAGATGAGAATAATTTTTGTTGTATCAGGTTAATGCAGTATTGTTAGCAGTAAACGATACTGTGTGTTTACACTCGCACTTTCACGTCTACAAAATTAAGAGCAAACGCGCGTGCATACATAAATTAGACACTGTTACTACTGTTCTCATACCTCCACATTGTGTTTCGCAGTCCTCGATCGTATCAAAGCTGTTTTCGTTGCCCTGGCAACCACCATAAATGAACTGTTCACAACTACTTTTCTCGGCATTATAGAAGTATTTCCTGAAGAAACCTCGGCAAGGTCCAGTCACGCTCGGCAAACTGCAATATCCTGGTTTCACACTCTTACCCTGGTCTATAAAGAAAGCAAAGACGTCTCGTCTAGTTTCACTTCCACTGCCAATTGTTACTAAGTTTTGTTATTGGTATAAAGACACATGAAATATATTTCATTTATATATTTAGACATTGATTTCTCCTGTTCCCATACCTCCACATTGGGTTTCGCAATCCTCGATCGTATCAAAGCTGTTTTCGTTGCCCTGGCAACCACCATAAATGAACTCTTCACATCTACTTCGCTCAGAATTATAGAAATATTTCTTGAAGAAACCTTGGCAAGGTCCAGTCACGCTCGGCAAACTGCAATGTCCTGGTTTCACACTCTTACTCTGATCTATACAGAAAGCAAAGACGTCTCGGCTAGTTTCACTTCCACTGCCAATTGTTACTAAGTTTTGTTATTGGTATAAAGACACATGAAATATATTGCATTTGTAAGTTTAGACGAAAATATAAAGCTTAATGGATTGACTGATTCCTCATTGTCAGACTATTACTAGCGTATTTATTCAAAGGAAATCGTGGCAATTTCAGTAAGAACATTCATGGCCATGTTATATACCTCCATCGACGAGTCTAATCCCCTGCGCTCCTGATCTGGGCTGTCTTAGAGAACAACAGACTGCTGGAGCATCTGCGCGGTCAGTATTGCAGGTAAATCGAGCAGGACATGGGCTATTCTGAGAACATGTCATGGCGTAGCCTGCATCCCGTGAGTCTTCCAGGGGTGTGGTGCCCCCCGGGCAGACCTGGGCATCTGCTCTGGTTTTGACTGGCTGTTCGAATGGTCGCTGACCGGGTGCAAATCCTAACAAGTATAAATAATTGGGTTTCGCAATCCTCGATCGTATCAAAGCTGTTTTCGTTGCCCTGGCAACCACCGTAAGTGAACTGTTCACATCTACTTCTCTCTTCATTATAGAAGTATTTTCTGAAGAAACCTCGGCAAGGTCCAGCCACGCTCGGCAAACTGCAATGTCCTGGTTTCACATCTTGTCCTTTTATTTCTGCTATTAATGTTAGGACAATAATTCGTTTTTTTAAAGTTAAAGTTTATAAAATAGCAAGGTGATATACGTTTGTGGAACTATTGTTATTTTTAGCTTATATCGTAATATACCCTAAATAGCAAGTTCAATATATCTTCTTCCCTGCTGCCCGTATGATTGATAGTAAAGCTATCATAGTGGTCATGTTATCTGCATCGTACATAAGTGAGCCTGTCAGTGTGGATGATTACCATCATTACGCAGTGGTTCCCTTTCAATCAGAGGTGGCAATGTCGGTTCCTCGGGGCAGCATACAGCACCGGCATCAGCGATCTCCGTGAAACACGTATACTTGGCCGGACATGGTGACTCTGACCAGCACGCTCGGTTCTTGAAGGGATTTTCAGGATCACGTAGTGCTTCTCCTCCTCGGCAGGGATTGAATGGAGGTGGTATCTCTGCAAAGACATTTGTTGCAAAATTGTTACTAGGTTAAACTGTTACAGACCACGTTATTATAAGTTATATAAACACGTCTTACTATTATATGAATCTAATATTCAGTGATCAAACTACAAAATGTTATAACGAAATGTTTACTGATATACATATATAGATACACATACTCTTGTGTTTGCGATCAATTATAGTCTTCCGTATTCAAACAAATATTTCTTTTGCCAACATTCGTTTGCCTTTACACTACTTTGCTTTTAGGTTCGTTCAGGGTATTTGACCTCGCTCCTCCTCTGACCCGCGTACATTCATTTGTTCGTTTGTTCCACAGTTCTTTCATCCATTAAATTTTCGTTCACCTGTCCGCCCATGCGGTCACCGTTTCATATACAAATTCAAGTGTAAAAGACATACGATGTAAGATATAAGATCGAATACCAACCTAAACATGCACAGTTAAACGAATACTATTATCTTACCTGACTGTTTGATGGCTGGGTAGCACATTCTCGCCACCCTGCATGCTCCTGCTGCTCGACAACATTTCTCACTCTTTCTGCAGTCTGTATCGTCTTTGCATACCTTTACAAGCGGCTCAGGCAAGGGACAGTCGAAATACACTGACAGGTCTGGGCAAACCAGGGGGTCATCTAGTCTGGCATCCAAGGGCTGGGAATACAACAGAATATCTGTAGGAATCTGCGAAACATCACGTTTTTAAATCGATCTTCCGAGGCGTGTGGTTAGTGACACTGAGAGGGTCTTAACCCTACCAGGCGGTGTGACTAACGTCACTACACACAATAGGGGTAGTGACACAAGATAGTATGTATTATTTTTAATTTTTTACTTTTAATTTTTTATATTTAACGTCTTTTATATTTTGATTTCTTATTTATTTTTACTGTTTGGATGGGATGGGATGGGATGGCATGCGATGGCATGCGATGGCATGGGATGGGATGGGATGGCATGCGATGGCATGGGATGGGATGCATGGGATGGGATGGGATGGGATGCGTGCGATGGCATGGCATGGCATGGCATGTCATGGGATGGCATGAGATGGATGCGGTGCGATGGGGATGGGATGGGATGGATGGACATGGATGCATAGATGGATGCATGAATGGGATAGATAGTTAGATTTTTAGCTCACCTTGACATCGTCAAGCTGAGCTATTGCCATGGGTCGTCGTCCTCGTACGTCCGTCCGTCCGTCCGTCAACATTTCGCCTTCGGTCAACGATAACTCAGAAACTGTTTGGCCCACATGTTTGAAATTGGTATAGTTGTTACTGCTATGCTCCCATATTAAACGTCCTATTTTGAAGCACGCCAGTCGACGTACTTTCGAGCCATGGCAATTTTTTGGCAAAAATGGGAATTGCCATTAGTCAGTTCAGGTTCAACGGATTTTGCTCATTTTTGGTATTGAATGAATAAGGGCTAGGGGTTTTATATTTAAAAAAATTATGCAAATTAGGTAAGGTTTGGCAATTATATAGCATATTATATAGACACAAACAGTCTGTGTGTCACACTCGTCTGGTTCTTTTACAAATATTTCATTGACAATATCTTAATGCAAAATTGGTATTTCGTCTCACCCTGCCGATAAAACGTCTATATTAGAGTAAAGATTTACAAACATGGCGAACGCAGCATAACTATTTATTTCAACGCAGTGGCTGGAGGTACGCCAGCCGTCGGTCGTTCAAGCCCTTTTTTGCGTTAGGGTAGCGGTTAGGGTTAGGTTTAGCGTTTAGGTTGTTAGGTTTAGGGTTAGGGTTGGTTCTTGCCTCATCTAAACTCTCAAATCGTGTATATTTATTTCGTTATTTCAAATCTGGCGCCACCGCCGCCATTCTTGTCTCGTTAAGTATGAAAGCCAATGGACTGCGCTACCGTAGCCTCGAGACATTAAGATACGGCTGCGTACCCGTAGCCACTGCTTATTTCAAACGCCATCGCTACAAAGCGGGTTATAGCGCATCTACAGTCACAAATTGTGATTCATTTTGGTTTATAAATTATTATTGCGATATACAGTGGCAATCGTTTCTATAATGTACGCTCGATGGTTGCTTAATTAAACTGACCTCTTTCTACTCACTCATTTGTGTCCTTTTGTGGTGAGCTACAAGTGTCATTGACACTTTCAATTTTGGGTATTTTCCTTTCAACCAAGGCGCCGTCACTAACTGACCAGAGTAACGCCACTGATTTCCCCGGGCAACGCCGGGTATCCCGCTAGTACATTTATATTTGCTCTCACGAGCAGTTTGATATGAAAATCACATTTCAGCGTTTTGTTTAAGACTTATTATGACATTGTCTTTCCGAATTTTCTTTATGGTGCAGCATAGGAAAAAATGTGCGTTTGCTCGTGGTTAGTATCTGCCAAACGGAATATAGTTGGGATATGTATTAGTTGGTTGACATTATACGTTCAACGTTATCACCACGTATTTGCGATTAGGTTGACGTGGAATATGTCTTCACCAATGTTTCACGAGGCGTCTAATCTTACCGGATTTCTTTATACACGAGTCTGTGTTTGCACATTTCCAGTATCTCTCAAGCGAAATATTTGTGGTTGACATTATTCATGTAAAGTTGTCAACATATACTAAGTTGTTATCCCCGAACGCAGTTCGGGGGGTGATACTATGGGTTTGACATCTCGCGCCCGCCCCACCGCCGCCGCACGAGATTTCCTTGTGAGCGCTCTGCCGGCCTGCAGTTCTTCTCGGATCATCTTCAAATTTCGCCATGAAGGGCGTTGAGCTTGTAAAGCGAAACCGCCAATCGTCTTTGGTGTGGGCGGAGTCATCGGCCATGCGCCGTAACAACATTTTTTTTGTCCCCACAATATTCTAGAACGCTGTAACTTCTGAAAAGTTTGTTAACCGATTGCTCATGAAATTTGGCACACAGGAACCAATCACTATACACTTACTATATATATATAATATTATAATATATATAGATATATAGGACATATTATATCGGCCCTGTTGTGCCCAAATTCCATTGACAATCGGTTAAAAACAGCACCAAGGTTACAGCGCTTCTACAAAATATTTCCACAAAAATGTGTCGTTATATGCAACGATGACTCGCCCCACACCAAAAACGGCATTGGGCGTCTTTGCTTTAGCGCGAGAGAGCGGCACCTTGCCCTAACTTGGGCGACGAAGGTGTGCACCAGTACCAAAACCAGCTCACTGCGACCTTCATTTCACCTTTTTTTCTTGACTCGTTGATCATATTTCCCTTCACCTCCTGTTAACTCTTGTCCCCTAATTCCACCTGAGCGCTACCAAACTTGGTTTTCTATACTTACACATCTTGGGGCAGAGAAGGTGTGCAGAGTTACCAAAACCAGGTCACTGCGACCTTTATTTCACCTTTGACTATGACCTTGCATCAACTATCCCTTTCGCTCTCTAACTCCGACCCGCTAAGTTGACCTAGCGCGACCCAACTTGCTATGCTTACACATCTTGGAAAGAAGGTCTGTCGCATACCAAAACCACCACTGCCCTTGACCTTAGTTTCACCTTGACCGTCGACTTACATTTCCTCTTCGGCCTCCTAGGGTAACCAGATTCCATATACTTGCACATCTGAGGCAGACCAGTTGTCTAACAAACCTTTGTCTTTGTGACTTATTTAGCTTTACCTGCCTTCTACGTCCTTACAGAGATATTCCATTCATACTAGATCACGGGGGATACATGTAGTTGGCGACAACAGCTCTAGTTACTAGTAGATTGATATCAAAAATGTATATCTTACATTTTTCGGGTTAATAAGGCACGAAGGGTCGTTGTCGTATAGGGTACTACATATATGTACCCGAGGTAACTATCTGATATGGTTAGGGTTAGGGTTAGGGTTAGGGACCTTAGGGTACCCTATACGACAACGGCCCCTTCAGCGTTAATAAGTGTAAAGCATCAATTTGTTCTGAATTTTCCTGTACACGGATGTAAATACACACGGTGTTCCCGGATGTGTACCGTTTACCAATAGAAATGTTTGCTTGAAATTACACGTTTTACACAGAGAGCCAATAGTCTCTAGTAACCTAATATCAAAAATGTCTGTCCCGGTGTTTCACTTTAATAGTTCCAAGATATACCCATATATTGCCTAACCCTATAGGCCTTCATATAGGTATAATAGGCTTTCCCTGATGCCCATATATTGCCGAACCCTATAGCCTTCATATAGGTATAATAGGCCTTCCCTGATGCCCATATATTGCCGAACAAGGTCCGGCCTGCGTAGGACATGCCAAGTATTTCACTAAAAAGTTATAATTTGGGTAAAAAAAAATCCCGTTAAAGTAACGAGTATATAGGCCTATACACGTCTATTTTAGTGTATCACTTCAGTAATTATAGGGCACGCAATCTTCTAGGGCAGAATATCCGTGTTCCCGCATTTTCAGTGTGTGAAATAAAAATGTTAACAAATGTAATTTGTTGAAATCACACATTACACACACATTTGAAATAGAAAGCGCATATTATAGATTAGTTTGCTGTAAAACATGACTGTCCAAAATATCAGTTTAATAATAAGTAAATGCGTAATTTCCCCAAAGTTCCATATTTGAGCAAATCTTGTTTTTTTCCATATAATGTATCTCGTATGCGAAATATTAGTTGTTTGACATTGTATATCTAAAGTGAGAGCACTTACTTTTAAACAGTTTATAATGAAAAATATCTATCCGTGGCTGTAGGCTATGGGAGGTAAAAGTACAGCTACAAACGTTCTTCATTCATTATGAGGCGAGAAATCAATGGTGATTAATTAATATGATTAGGGAGGCAATCTCAAGGGATAGCTAATCTTCAATTTCGGTGATAAATTTTAATGCCATCTATATATATAGTTGTTTAGCCGAATTAGTTCGTACTCGCATAACTAGAGAACTCCGCAGCCTAGAGGAAAACTAAAGATATTTTCAGAATCAGCACGTCTGGGAGGTGGTTCTGGCTGAAACAAATATTTAAAAAAGTTAAAAATTCATAAAAATCCTATTCATCAATAGATGGCGGTGCGCACAGATTAACATCACGTACGTGTGAATCCATGGGGTATACAATTAACGGTGCAGTGGCCTGATCGTTAGAACATCCGTCTCCTACACCGGGATTCCGAGAACTTATTTTCCCCTCTAGTATTTATTATTTATAATTTTTTACTTTTTATTTTTTATATTTAATGTCTTTTATCTTTTGATTTCTTATTATTTTTTACTGTTTGGGATGGGATGGCATGGGATGGATAGGGATGGCATGGGGCATTGGGATGGGATGCGGTGGATGGGATGGCATGGCATGGCAAGGGATGGCATGGCATGGCAAGGGATGGCATGAGATAGGATTGGATGGGATGGGATGGGATATGGGATGGATGGATGGATGCATGGATAGATAGATAGATTTTTTTGGTATTTTCCTTTTTGAACCAAGCGGTCACCAACTGAGTAACGCCACTGATTTCCTCGGGCAACGCCGGGTATCCCGCTAGTTTTAAATAAAGTTATAAATGCAGTATTTAAAATCCGCGTTCTGAATAAATTCGCCATTCCGCGACGGATGAAACGTGGGTTATGTTACTAATACAGGTTACTATGTACGCGATTTTAGGTCTACTAAGCACATTACCGTACAAAAGACATTGCGGTGAATTTAAGGAAGAGCGCGCTTATAATCTATATTCCCAGTATTATAAAATACAAGTTCGGGTTGGTGATCTAGTACGCTAATTCAACCTATATTCGTGAATGAGCAATTATTTCTGGAAAGGGTTTGAACTAACTAAGTGCGAGAATAAGTATCAAGTCTTTAAAAAATAAATAAATAAATGAAAAAATAAATAAATAAATATAGTAGGTAATACAGTAATGAGATTTTTATTCATTGTTAGATTCAAAATAACTCTCCACTGAATGTGTGTAAACAAAAGAAATTCAAAGTAATTTTCAAAACGAAGAGTTAATAGAAGTTTACACTATCATCTAATTTCATTAAGATCATTATTGTTACCTCTATTGCATGCAACGTTACGCTTGTTCCACTTGCCAATTGTTACGTAATAGAAAGTTTCCACAAGAACACAGCCACCAAACTACAAAATATAGACGTTTACTCGAACTCACAGGTCGCCTTGTTATTTCTAGATGAATTGGTGATAGTCAGAAACTAGTGCAAGGATAGCCACATCCAAAACTCAAAAAGTCACATACTATAGTATAAAAATAAGGCATGCATTAAATGTTTCACTCTATTTTAAGATCATATTTGTTTCGCATTTCTATTTTAACGCACGTGTCGAGAGAGTGAACTGTGGAAATCAAGACCAAATTATCATCATTGTATAATCATCATTGTAGTCCATTTGTTTAGTTGGTGGGCGTTCATGTTGGCATACGTTTAATTCGATGCCGACTTGCCTTATTCATACCTTAAAGGCGTCAACGTTAATCGTAATGCGCAATACTCGTGTGTTAGTGTAAAGCAAGCATCTCTACAAGCGCGTAAAAAAGCTTTACGACAGGCTCCTGATATGATGAATCTTAATTCAAGTATTGTGCGTTAATTTTTGGGGAAGGAAAAGGCGCCTTTCTCCTCCAAAGCCACTTATTATCACAGTCATATGGAAATAGGCTCTTTAGTGACCTCGCCGAGACCTGATTATAGTGTGATTTTTACGCATCATTTACACGGGTGTCAGCACATTATTGGCGCAAGAGAATGCTCGGTGTGTCTCCGCGAGGCTGGAAAAATTTTATTAGCAATTTTATCCAGGCACGCTTCTATAGCTTAGCTCTCTATCAAGCAGATATCAATAGCACCTACGGCTCCCTAAAAGAAACACCCGACTATATGGATTATAGCAATGGGGGCGTAGTTAACGCCATCATTCATGATTATCGTCATCGTCATCATCATCATCGTCGTCGCCGTCATCATCATCATCATCATCATTAATAGCCAGCTGCGCGGTCTTCTCTCCCATGCACTTGGGCGCATGTTTGGGCGCGCGCGTGCGTGCATGCGCGCGCGATAAGATATGCCTAAGCGCTTTATGCTCATTAATATCCACCTCGCGGTCTTCTCTCCATGCACTTGTCCTTCGCAAAGCGTCTTACGTCCTCAATTGTTGCTTGCATTACAGGCCCATCAGATGAAGTGAGCTCACAGAGTTGTAGTAGAAACGAGGAATACGTGCCCTGCATCGTCCTGATGGGTGAACAAACGATCTGATAGAATTCTGGCACACCATAAAAAACGTATAATTTATTCGCTTAAATTTAATATACTGACAAACAGTAAGTCAAACCTGTTATTTTAGGAAGCTGACAGTCCTCATTGCCTGGTAACAGCGTTGGTTCAATACTTTGTGGTACTTCGCCTGGTAGTAAAAAAGTACAAACTTACTCAAACATTCACTTATATAATATGGCTGCCGTGTTATTGCGGACGATTTTCTTCATGAAGCTTCACTCACTGGTAGATTTGTATACCTTCTGTTTATTACCATGTCGAAAATGTACATAGCATGCCATGTAATATGTACATAACATACATGTAAATAACATACCATGAAAAAAAAATTCCATTAACAATATCATAGTAATGTCTAATGACTAATGAGACATTAGTCATTATTACTGACTTCTTAATAAATTTGCTGGTATATTTACATGTACGTATGTAGATCATACAATGGTCAAGTGATCGAGGAACGTTAACACAATAACTGCAATATTATTCATTTAATCGATGTTAATCTGCCGATGATGAATATATTGCGTACATAAAAACACATATAACAATGTATTTTTTATTGATTATGATTTGAATTGTTTTAATAGTTATTCCAATCGGCCTTCCCATTCGCCGTTACAGCTTATTTATATATATATATGCTTGGACCAGGCGTGGCTCTATTCTGCTTAGTCAGGTAACTCGCAGCCCGACTTGCCACACCCTCCAAGTATAATGCGTGGCTTACCTTGGTCACAGGATCGTGGGTAAGCTAGCTGCAGGCCTGCGTTGTCCTGCTTAGCGCAGTCGAGTTCACACGGGTTGCTGTACGTGTTCCCATCGCTGCCACACTGTGGGTCATACTCCCTCGTGCAAATACAAGGAACTGATGGTCCAGGTCCTACAACATGAAGTAATATTAGCAGGCATGCCCTTTGAGATTGAAATTTTCATCAACATGTCCAGTCTGTAGCATGGTGCTACTGGTATGTTCGGTCCTGTAATTAGAAACATTACTGTAACTGAAAGGAATGATAGACAATAACTTGGCTATTCCGATTAGTTTACCTATATATATATATATATATATTCCACTTGGCAAACATACATGCGCGGAGGAAATTTGCAGCCCATCTTTCGCTCTCTTCCCATTAGAATAGACATCATAATAGTAATCAATCATTATTATTCATTACGTATATATTGGTGTGTTTTGGGTATGCTACCAACATGAACATATGTATACCCTATGTTTATATATATATGTTCCCTATAGAGAGTATACATATTTTCATGGTACCTTGGTCACAGGATCGTGGATAAGCTATCTGCAGGTCTGCGTTCGCTTGTTTTGCGCAGTTTAATTCGCATGGGTTGCCATAGGTTTTCCCATCACTGCCACACTGTGGGTTATACTCCCGGGTGCAAATACATGGTGTTGGGGGTCTACTCGGTTCTGTAATGAGAAAAAGTACTTCAAATTATATATTATTGTCTTTCAAGTGTGACGATTAGGCTGAAGGGTTTAATTTGCTATATTATTTATTTAATTCATAATCAGGATATTTACATTGATCAAGTATGAATATTTTTATTTTTCGATATCTGGGAGAAGCGGTCCTTTGCCCCCCCCCCCAGTTTCCAGAGGCTTCCAGGGCCTTGATAGACATTTTTAATAGCAAATGATTTGTGAATATATGCTGTCTGTACTTCAAATATATAATGCCAAATAACAACATTTCTATTGGCAGATACTGAGTATATCGGAATGCAGATTTGACACCATTCTATATAGTAGCGAAGCACAGTCTTAGATTGGGAAACACAGTCTTAGATCCTTATTTTATTATTTATTATCTATAAATATTATCTGTCTATAGATCTATTGTTTTGGCATTCTTCAAAAGCTGCCCTCGGATGAAAACCACATTATGTGCCGATCTATACCTTGGTCACATGATCGTGGATAAGCTAACTGTAGGTCTTGGTTTGGTGTCTTTGCACAGATCAGTTGACACAGGTTGCCATATGTTTTCCCATCACTGCCACACTGTGGGTCATACTCCGAGGTGCAAATGCATGCTGGTACTAGTCTAATCGGTTCTGTAATGGGAAATATTACATTAAATTATTATACTTAAACGGTTATTTAAGAGTGTTTATCACTGATGTTCCGGCAGTGAAATCCTGAACATGATGGTCCTCACCGTCCTGCACCTCTTTTAGTTCAGCAAACATTACGAGAGGGCACCAGTTTACGGGGTGGTCTTATGTGGCGTTGCGAGCAATGCGCGCTCATTAGAATTGTTCACACTCTGCACTTGTCGGTTATGATCCCTGATTATGTGAAATTCTTAGTTTATTTGGCTTACATTTAACACTAACTATGGCTTCTAAGAGATATACAAGTCATTGGCGGTGTCAAGCGTAAAAACCAGTCATTATCGAGATTGTTTAATTTATGCTTCTAGCAGTCCAGGGTGCTTTAAAGTCTAAGTAAATTAGTGGGTCTTGGGGGTATTGTTGAATCATTATTACGTGACTTCTGGTGGTCCGGTAAGATATTGAATCCGGCAAGGGTGTTTGCCGGAAAATTGGTGGTGTACCTGTGTGTGTGTGTGTGTGTGTGTGTGTGTGTGTGTGTGTGTGTGTGTGTGTGTGTCTGTGTGCGTGCGTGCGTGCGTGCGTGCGTATGTATATATGCTAATAACGATGATTACGGTCACTTCGCTCCATACCATCTTCAATCAGAGGTGGCAATGTCGGTTCCTCGGGGCAGCATACAGCAGCGGCATCAGCGATCTCCGTGAAACACGTATACTTGGCCGGACATGGTGACTCTGACCAGCACACTCGGTTCTTAGAAGGATTTTCTGGGTCACGTAGTGGTTCTCCTACTCGGCAGGGATTGAATGGAGGCGGTATCTCTGCAAGGGAAGTTGTTACAACATTGTTACTAGCGGAATCTATGCGTTACCTAAATACACGCCTAACAATTTTTATGAATCTATACTATTGATATCACGTTACGTTACCAGACATTGCAATACGTCGCATCACGTTACGTTACAGTACAGTACAGTACCAGTACAGTACAGTACAGTACAGTACAGTACAGTACAGTACAGTACAGTACAGTACAGTACAGTACAGTACAGTACAGTACAGTACAGTACAGTATACAGTACAGTACAGTACAGTACAGTACAGTACAGTACAGTACAGTACAGTACAGTACAGTACAGTACAGTACAGTACAGTACAATACAATACAATACGGTGCAGTACAGTACAGTAAAGCACAGTATATAGTAAAGTAAGGTACATTCACTCTTATATTTACACTATGTCTATTTTGTTCATCGTTCATAAGTCTATCAATCATTGCTTTTACCCGTTCTTCTAAACGCGCACAAACTCACCGCCGCTGCACACAGGCACGCACGCATGCACGCGCGCATCAACATCATAGAAATTTGAAGCTTAAAAGCCTGGAAAGTATGGTTATACTAGTAAACTCATGATCATGGTAGCTATGGGTTAATAGCACAACTTATTACCTTACCTGACTGTTTGATGGCTGGGTAGCACATTCTCGCCACCCTGCATGCTCCTGCTGCTCGGCAACATTTATCACCCTTCTGTGCACAGTCTGCATCGGCATCGCATATCCTCACTTCCCGTACAGGTAAGGGGCAGTCGAAAAACACTGACAGGTCAGGACAAACCAATGGGTCATCTAGTCTCGAGTCCAGTGCCTGGGAATGCAACAATATGTATATTTGTAAGCATTTTGAAACAGAAATTTAACGCAAAATGTAATGTGTAGTCTTAGATGTGGGCCATACGGATAACGAGTTAACATACGAAAGGTAGAGGTGACCTACAATCTAGCTTGACCGGTAGTATATTTTGTACAATTTGTGTTCGCAAACATACTCTAACATCGTATATCTACTAGAAGATTTTAACGCAATTACCACGGAACACGGAGTGGTTATTCAATGACCCGTTTATTGCTTGATGTCACGGTATCCAAAGTTGTAGGCCTAAGTATAAATTTGGAAGTCCCATAAAATTAAACAGTGCAGCAATTTGTAGTGATTTCGTTGGTTCGTCTGCTGAAGTTTTATGGGATGCCGCGAGTTTTGAGCTGACTCAGAACACGCCTCGTCAAGAATAACTGCTTAAATTGAAATGGCTTCATTTATGCTACTCATATTTGATGTGTGCGCACTCCGAAACCATTACAAAGTCGAAGCTAGAGGCCAATGGTCAGGAGCCGGCAATTAATAGGCAAATGCCGTATTTACATATGTAGTAAAGAGACCCTAGTCAAATGTCAGTAAGCCCCGGTCGGATTTCAATTGTTTTCACGATGTGGTAGGGCACAACTTGTAATTTTTTATTGCTAACCTACCGTTTTCTAAACTCTAGATAAAAGACCAGTAAATTTAATGTCATCATTTGCTATCCGATAAAGACTGTACGATAATTCTTTTCAAGAGAAAGCGCTAACATCGATTATTATTCGCAATATAATCTAGGATAAAAAGGGCTTATTATGTTTAAATTTATTATATACTCGGGATTATTTCTTAAAAATGTTAAGCCCTCGGCTAGGACGCAACTCTTCGTACATATGGGGAATTTACATTTTGTGGTTTTCTTTAAAAAGTATCAACAGACCTATTAGTGGAATTCTCTCGTTAAATTTGCCGTTTTGCCTGTTGACCCTTAAAGTTTGAGCTTATGTGAGCTTATAACGTCATTCTGCGTCATGACCCTATATTCCGAATATCATTCCCTTTCTGATAGCACACCGGAAATACGGGAAACCCTAACGTCTGAGAAACCATCAGCTGCGGCAGACAGATTTCCGGGCAATATTCTGTGCGATACGGATATGAACGTAGCACCTACCCAACATCGCAAGCTGTGGAATTATTGTTAAACTCTCCGGTTAGAAAAGACGATTTCTACACCGACAAACGAGATTTTGGGTGATATTGTGAGCCGGCTAGGGGTCTCCCAGAGAAATACTAGGAAATGACGAGGACCGATCGAGCGTGGATGAAGAAAGCTCACAGCGCCAATATAGAGAAATGGTCGGTTAAGGCGATTGCGGGTCAAAGATGCACAAGGATACACTATATGGGTTATATCTAGCTCACGCGCGATTCCAATACGACGGGGTCTGCAGTTAGAATTGATTACGGCGCATTTTCTTATGAATGGGCTACGATCAAATGCAATCTGCCGTCTCGACACTCTCCGTCTCACGTCTCCCAGCTTTTTTATTTAGTTTTTTTGTTCAGTCGTTTAACAAACCACGGATGAACCATCTATTGTGTGTGAATAAACGTTTAGGTACATGTAGGTAATGTTACATGTTAGGTACATGTTAGGTAATGGTGATTAGTTTAAATATGAAATGAAATAAATTTATTAATAAAGATAAATATATAAGAAATAAATAAATAAATAAATGAGAAAATCGGATGTAAATTTATTCATCGGTCAACATCAATTGGTTATATGTAAAAGATTATGCATAGACATCTTGCAAACAAAAATCTTGTCGATGTTTACACCCCTCGGTCACTGTCGGTATTTTTATCTAAGTTATTTACCTTTACTTGTTACCGGATTTACCATCATCTACATGTAACCTACCCTAACACCAGCAGAAGGTTAATGTCAAACATTAATAACATCATATCCAACTGCTGATGTTACTATTCTTATAAGGAGTTTCGTTCGTTCAAACGTGTACATTAAAAGGTTAATTATACACAAAAGTACACGTTTCTGTCAATAAAAAGCAATTTGCATTCTAGACGTGAATACTATTACCAGGTCGTAAACCGGATGTTTTAATAATACGACGACACGTCTATTATTGTGAGTATTTGCGGTTACAAAGCTCCAATTCAATGCATTGGCATGTTTGATGTGGGGATGGGGTGTTGGTTTGTATTTAACTATAATTGCATTTAAAACTAAAGTAAGAGCGGCATACTGTACAACATAGCCAGCCAGCCACGTGTGTTTTTTTAATCATAGGAGCACTCTTTATCCCGTAGCTATCAATAATTTTTGTAACGACGGCGGTTACGGAAAACGATTACATATGAATACGTAACTAGCCCTACTATTAACATCATTGTATTAATAGCCACTAAATAGATTATTCTACTCATTCATATATGATTCCAAATAGCAAATCCTGTTAGTAATGACATATTATTCATATCTGCGCATGCGTGCATACTGTGCACGCGCGCGCGTATACCTCTGTGCATGCATGTTTGGGCGCGCGCGTACGTCTTTGCATGCATGTTTGGGCGCGCGCGTACGTCTGTGCATGCATGTTTGGGCGCGTGCGTGCGTGCATGCGCGCGCGATAAGATATGCCTAAGCGCTTTATGCTGGCCCTTGCCCATTAATAGCCACCTGCGCGGTCTTCTCTCCCATGCACTTGGCCTCGCAAGCGTCTACTGTCTCGAAGTTGTTGGCGTTGGCATTACAGCCTCCATAGATGAATGACTCACAGGTTCCCGTCTCAGAGTTGTAGTAGAAACGAGGAATACGTGCCCTACATCGTCCTGAGGGGTAAACAAATGTTTCGCAATTTTCACGCCAGCGCCTGACACGGCCCGTCACCGATGTGTATAATATTGTGGAGAACGGGTGCCAACGCTATAATGATGTTTCTGAAATAGTTTACCATCTTCACCTGATTTAAAGTCACGAAGCGAAGTACGAAAATGTTATATTGTTATGTGACAGTCGTAGAAACCAACCTGTTCGCTTGGGAAGCTGGCAGTCATTCTTGGTTGGTAATTGTTGTGGTACCACGTTTTGCCGCACATTACCTTTTCAAAGGAAATTTTTTCAATCATTTTAGTACAAGCTAAGTAGCCAGAATATTGGAAGTGGGAATGATATAAATAGCATATTATATTCTAATAATAGCACCGAGGCAGAACACAACGGGATTCCAAGGAACTAATCCTGGAATAAGATAGAAAACACTTTACAAAACTGAGTTCGCTGACGGCTCTCCGCTATGGAACTAACTGAGTCGGATTAAAAGCTTGGATCATGTTCTTGGGTGTAATTACGTAATGCTACTTGTATGTTCGGTGCTGTAATAAGAAATGTTGGTGTCTAATATCTCTATTGTAAACCATACCTTGGTCACAGGATCTAGCATAAGCTAGCTGCAGACGTGAGTTAGTTTGTTTGGCGCAGTCGAGTTCACACGGGTTGCTGTACGTTTTCCCATCGCTGCCACACTGTGGGTTATACTCCCTCGTGCAAATACAATTCTGTGGCCTGCTTCGCTCTGCATTAAAAAATATTACCTAATTACACTTATTTAAAATGAAATCGCGTTAAACACAGTTTACTTGAATTTTAAGAGAGGATATAAAGAGAATTTGAACGGATCTACTAAAAGAAATAATGTAAGTAACCTATATAACATAATTCTTGAAGTTCTACGTTGCATAATAAAGCTAAAAGAGAAATATCTTATTACATAAAGCGTTGTTCGTTTTGATAAAACAATCGGATTAATCACTGGAGGACGCAAAAGCATTCTTTTTCTATCTAATGTGACATTGAAGCGTCTTACTTATGGAAAAACTTATCCAATATTTTTACGTCCCGAAAATCGTAGGTCTTTTGCAGCTGCTTTATTTGCCTTGACATTATTGATACTATTAAATTATTTTAACGTAATTGCTATAACTAACATTTTTATTCTCACATTCGTATCAGGAATAAACTCCTGATATAGTTTTCATCGACATCACTGTACAGGCTCCATGCTACCCATTGCAATTTGTTGAATTTAAGCATGTGCCAAAGTCGACCTCACGTCGTCTGTATGTAAGTAAATCATGGTGCGAAACATGGTAGATGATATGTTATACCCAAAGGTCTAAGTAGTGAGATCTGTGGCTGCGGGCAGCACACGGCTGCTGCATCTGCTAGGCTGGTGTCGCATATGTAGTTGGCAGGACACCGGTTGCCCCGGGAACACGTTTGAGGGCTGCCATTTGCATTCTTCAAGGCTGGTCCCGGACGACAGCGGTTGTCATCATCTGCTGCCCGAGCTACCGAAATATGAACGCAACTACTATGTCAACACATTATTAATGACAGTTAAGTACATGTTCAAGCATATGTTTATTAAGAAACAAAATTTAATTAAATTCTAAATTACAAAATCGGATGGTTTCTTTACACGATAATGACAGAATTGCCGCAACATACATTATACATTCTGGAAACCTTTGAGTAGCAATAGCAACCGCCAGCAATGACTAACCTGTAGAAGAAGATACACCTTCAATGCACATTTTCTGTACTCTACAAGATCCCGGAGCATTGCAGCAAAGCTCTCCTTGACTACAGCTTGCGTCCCCAGAACACCGTATAGGGTTGTCCACCGGGCAGAAGAACAGACTTGTTAGATCAGGGCATATGGTAGCAACTGCGGGTGGAAACATTTACGTTAACGGTTTTTACTTGAATATCATGTTTGAACCGAAAGGTAAATGTTATTAAGTTTCATTGGTATAAACATTAATGAGAACATATTTCAACTGACTATAGATAACTAAATTTATTTCCGATTAAGCACCATATTTTGTTTCAGTAACTGTAATATAGGGTAAATTTCTATTAGCATTTCTATTTTACGTACCTGTTGCACACTGAACAACATATGGGCAGAAGTCACTAGAGCAGCGAACTTGCTCTGCTTTACACTCCGTCCCTGATTTGCAAGTTACCAGCTGAAATTTGTTAACATATGTCATAGTAGTTATTGGCCAATGTCGTTTCGTATTTAGTAATACCGTCACTCCATTAATTGTGGAGATTGCTATTGTCTGCAAATTGACACAAATCATAATTCACCGTCTTATCGTTGATATATGAAACATTTACTATATGGTACCATAGCATATTTTCTTGTGCCAGAGGTACAGTAGAGATGCAATTGAGTATTTTCCTATTATCGGATGCCTCACCTGGCAAGGGTTAAAATCACACTCGCACTTTTCGCATTGAGTATCTTCATCCCATGTGTACCTCACACCAAATTCGCATTCGAGGTTATCACACGATACTCTGCTGCAGTGACTGGTATCTAGTGGATGAAGAAATTTACTTCATTGACATCGTGTAGCAGATAAATTTTAGTTTGACTTGTGTCTTAAGGGCAGACTCTGACGTCATTGCTGTGTCGCGATTACGCGACCTCTTACGAAGTGAACGTCTAGTAATGGGAACATGTTAGATACCACGTCATAGTCACCAATGGCTTAACACACTCTGGCAGCGGCCGCCTAGGCGACGCGACGTAAGTGTCAGAGAGGATTCAGGCCAATGACAGGGAAAAGAAGAAGAGGAGCAGGAGCATGAGGAGGAGAAGGGAGAGGAAGAGGAGGATGAAGAAGAAAGGCACCTGCCTCTATTTGGCAGTAAATGTATTAATTCAAGGCGTTAATAGTACTTCTTTTTTACTTATATAGATACAAACAAGGTCGTATTAAGAATGCTAAATAATTAGCTTCATACGCTCTTGATACAAACGAATTGTATCGAGGCAAAGCTTAATGATCTTACCGGGACAAGTGGGTAGCTGGGCTGCCACTCTCGTTTCGTATATTGCAGCGCCGTGTTCCGTCATACAGTAGCACGTTCCATCGTTAGTATCGCACTGAATCTGCTCGAAGCCGCCGTACGCGTCACAGTATGGCGTGTACTTCTGTAGATCAGCGATGTTCGCGTTCGCGTCTTCGACATCATATTGCTGCCGCTGCACTCCCGTATTAGCTGCTTTAATTTGACATGCTGAAATAGAAGCAATATATCTACAGGAGCACTCCTAAAATCACGCATTTAGATCCCGATGAGACCATTTATTTCACAATCGGTGAGTAGCTTTGTGGCTTAGAACGGGGTGTGCAAAGCGAATTTGTGAAAAATGAATGTGTAAAATCACTAGATATGAGCACAAGTAAGACGGACACTCGTTTCAACTTGAGTAGGTTGACTGCCTCATTACTTAGCGAACATACCCTTTACGTTCCCTTGTGCAACTAGAGGTTGATGTGGTTCTATGCCTAGTGGTATATTCACACCCACGTACCTGTTAGTGATTCAGGCACTGCGCACACCTGCCCACATTCGCGTGACCCACAACAGCGCCCCAGCCTACTGCAATCTTGATCGTTTTCACAGGCAGTAGCAGATTCGCACTGACTGCGTGTGAGGAAAGTCTCGCTGGGGCATGGCCCCTGCTTCGGATCCAAGGTAGCTCCTGCACCTACGAAGACCAGATGTAAATTTTGGAGATATTTTGGTTCGAGTGTGGATTGATTTGTGATGCGGGTAATTGCGGTTTATGGCTTGCGCTCCTAATTTATAAAATAAATAATAGAGCGTCATTCGTAAGTAGGAATTACGGATGTTAACGCACGCACGCATGCACCAATTTACACGCGTATCATGCACGCACACACGCGCCAATACACGCGTATGCACGCACGTACACTTTGCGCGTATCATCCCGGCGTAAAACTTCACCAACCGCGCAAGCTAATGCAGTTGTAATTATACACAATACCTGAGCACTGCACAAGGCAGTCGAGGTAAGAGTCGAAGTTATTGCCATTGCCTCCACAGCCAGTGTAAGTGAAACGTTCACAGCGGTTGCTGGCGGGGTTGTGATGCCAGCGCATATGAAAACCGTCACAGTTACCTGCACTGACCGATTGAGTGCAGACGTCGGCCTCTCTCGCTGCGAATAAAAGTGAATGAAACTGTGTCTCGTAAATTCACGGCAGTTTTCTGGAGGATTGCATAGAAATTAATTTCTATTAACAGCCGCTGTGACGACCGCAAATACGACTCGATGTGCCATTGTTCTGTTCGGCGATGCTAGTACTATAGTATATGACGCACATCTTTCAAATTACACTGTTTTATGATGAGTATTCTAATCAACTGGTAAATAACTTCGTGCGTGTTGTTATGCTTATATTTGTGTAATTTAGCACGCGTGGTTGGAGTGGTCGTCATTCACAGGACTAAGAATGAAGGTTATATGAAAGAGTTGCATTACACGTCTGACATGATCGAGCTTACGCGCGCATCTGCTCCTGCACTCCTCGTACGTCGCGAAGTTGTTGTCGGTTCCGCTGCAACCACCGTAGATGAAGCGCTCGCACTCTCTCGTGTCCTTGTTGAACCACCAGCGCGGAATGTACGCGAGACACATGATACCGCTCGCGCCGTGCCGGGGCATCTCGCATACTGCTGTCGTACGAATTACACAACAACAAAGGGAATCGTTGACGGACGTCAAAGATCACATACGGATCAGGATGGCGAGTAAGGTTTATATCCTAACCAAGAGTAGATAATAACATGTGTGTTATTATCTACTCTTGATCCTAACGTAACTGGCGCAGCTTTCTAAACTCTGTATTATATTTTCTAATTGAATTAACATCGTATATCAGTTCATATATGAAATCCACAATTCATAAATGGGGCTGTTTTTGTTTCTACATAGGTACTGCTTTGATAGTTGGATGAGGAGGAGGAGGAGGATTGGGGATGAAAAATGAGGAGCGGGAGGAGGGGGAGGAGGAACGTTGAAGAGGAGGAGAAGAGTGAATAGGAGAACGAAGAAGCGGAAAGTATAGAAAGTAGATAGAGATTAAGTAGGGGAGAGAAGAACTAAGGACGTAGACGAGGTGGATATAGGAGGAGGAACCAAGTATGTTAAGTTATAAATGGGAAGGTAACGAACGAGAGTAAAGGGATAAGACGAGGGTGAGGACGCGGATAAGAGATGGTGGGAGAACAAAGAGAAAATAGGGTTGATGAGAAGTTGCGGGTAGAAATGCTGATGATAGAAACGTGGATGGGAATGAAACGGAGGGCGAGTGTGCATACGTTTCTCTCCTTCTCTCTCTCGCTCGCTCTTTCTCTCCTCCCATTAACCATAGCTCATAAATTCATACTGCATTACTGCCTAGCGACTATACTTTCGATGTCTGTCAAAATACCTTTATCGAGTAGTCCCGATATAAAATTCTGCTCCTTAGATTGCTGCAGGCAAGTGCATGTCCGACAGCCGCTCTCATCGTATTCATAGTCGTCGCAGTTGCTGCTGCACTTGAAGAACGGACAGCCCAGGGGAAGACCGGGGTCGCTGGTGCTCTCCGGACGACATTCGCACGTCAGACACCCGTTGTCGAGTCTGCGTAGTCCCGTCTGACACTGCAGTGCGCAGCGCGGTGATTCACACGCCGCCTCCTCGCACTCGCACGTCTCGCAGCCATTCTCGTTCTTCTTGAAGCCAAGCGCACAGAACATGCGACACGTACCCTTCGGCGGGCACAGGGTGACTGCCAGTGCGTCGTTGCACTCGCAGATATCGCAACCATTGGTGTCCTTTTTGAATCCTCGTTGACAGAATAATCTACACTGCGCTCTTGGGCAGGTGGTAGGCGTGTTGTCGTTGCACTCGCAGATATCGCAACCGTTGGTGTCCTTTTTGAATCCTCGCTGACAGAATAATCTACACTGCGCTCTTGGGCAGGTGGTAGGCGTGTTGTCGTTACACTCGCACGTATCGCAACCGTTGGTGTCCTTCCTTCTGCCGAACTCGCACTGGTTACGACATCGTACGGCCGGACACTCCGCTGGAGCCTCTAGGCACTCGCAGGTATCGCAGCCTTGTTCGTCCTTCACCCGGCCGTATTCGCAGTAGATTCTGTTACAATAAATTAATTGCGACTCCTGATTTGCTTTCTTCATTTAACGTTTCTAACTACATTTTCCAAAACCGGAAAATCAAGGTTATGTTACCCGCATATTTACTAACTAAACGGGATATTAGGTATATACTACAACTTACAACTTGTAATACACACATACGTATCGATGCTATTGGCGCTTTTTAGCCATGACCTACATACATATATCTAGCTTATTGGTATGTCCGTTGAATAACGTATATTTAAACATTTTGCATTTAGCAGCTTCATTGGCAAACGGCACTTTCGTAATGTATCGGTCGTTTGGGACGTTATGGGTCAGTTTCGTACTCGCGGAATCATGTACCGGCATAGACGGTGCGTGCAGTGTGTGGGCACATCAGCCGGAACCACTCCCCTAGACATGCATTCCGGGAAAGGCAAATCGCAGGGTGCTCGTATGCAGTATACTTCCCTCAGCACACACACTTCATCGGGGCCACACTGGATGTCATTGCAGGACGGCTCTAGGCTGGCCTCTTCCGGACTCGTGTTTACTGTAACACGTGGAGTTCATCAATATCTCAGCCTCGCCCGCAAAAATACCGAGGGCGCTACGATCGCAATTCTTTCGATGGAGTGCTGGCTCTTATGGATCGTAGCAGCGTAGTGTCTTGTTAGATAGTCTCCATATCAGATAGAGCCAGTACAGCGTCGCAGATTCGATGTTAAACTAGGACTTTATTAGTAACTTGACACATACAAATATATACATACTGTACATACTATATCCTAGGTTACGTCCATATTGGAACCCGCCTGGCTGTCTCTCGTGATCTACCCTCTCTCGGTCTCTCCTCTCCGTATCGCTATCTTAGTTACTCGATTACTCTATATATTTTTATCTCTATTACGCCCCATATATATATAGTATTTCAAAGGTATGTCGGACGCTTCTTCGATCCGACCGGTTGTCACCAGCTTCTTATTCTAGCAGTAACACATTAACGTGCGATTGTCGTTCAACTCATGCAGGGTGCGCGGTGGGGCTACGACGAGCATATCGAGCCTGGTAAACTTGTTGAGGCGCGCCGCGCAGCTTAATTAGAATGCAGTTAGTTACCATACAGATACAATACGAGCTTAATTGTTATTTCGGGGTGGGGCTGGTGAGTTCGCTGACTTACCGATGCATTTAGCCAAGGGTGGGCATGGAGCTCTGACGCACTGTACATCTACTGTCTCGCAGTGCCTATTATCTCCGCAGTATATACCCTATAGAAATACACGACACATAGCCTGAGCGGTACACGGCTGTAAAACAATGAACCAGCAAGGTTTGTAATGAAAAAATGTCCTTACGACGATTAATAGCGATAAAGGATATATTAACTGTAAAAATTGCTACCGTTAATTGATAGGTAAATTAACAGATGAATAGAACATGAAAATTGGAATCCAAATAGAACATTTGGAAAGACTGTTTGCGATTTGCCTACCTTGTAAGGTAATTAAGGCTGTGTCGACTTGGCAGTCTTACAACAGGTAAGGCTTTAACATGTGCATTAACCATCTGCGTTTGCCTACCTGACAGGGCGAAGACCGACATTCACAAATTTCGCATCCATCACCATCAAGCGCCAATCCATGCTCACACGACATGGAGCAAACTACAGGGGGGCACGGATGAGTGTCTGTAGATAGAAAATATGGTGAACCCTACAGTACACGTTTCTTATTACACACACGCGCACGCACACGTTCGCACGCACGCATTCACTCACGCGCTCGCATGCACGCACACGCGCGTGCGCGCGCACACACACACACACACACACACACACACACACATACCACGCACGCGAACACACAGTGACATACACACGTATATATTATATTACGTTGTTACGGTCATCGTGATAATACACATTGGTTTCGCTAAAAATCTTACCCAGATTTCTCCTGGCAGCTTCGCAGTCAGGCTGTTCCGTTCCTGGTGGGGTGAACGTGCCAGCTATCCTTTTGCCCGTGGGGTACACACACCAGGAGTATCCCGTGCTTCCATGCAACTGTTTGGGCTCGAACTCGCCCGACTCCGTGCAGAGTGGAGTGAAATGACCAACGCCATCAAACAGATCGGCATTCAGCTTCCCGATGTGGCACGCTGAAGTAGACCGGTAATGTTATATAGCCTCGTGATGTGGTATAATGCCTATATAAACTTTTTATAAACGCTAAGTATTCGAATATGTCACACGCGACAAAATCCGTTGAGAAAACTGACGTGGACAATAATAATATTATTGTCCACGTCAGTTTTCTCAACGTATAATATATACTTATATTATACGTAGATAACGTTTGTTAAAATTATTGATGGAACTATATTTTATGGTTCTGTTATAATCTATATTCTGTCAATAAATAAATAAATAAGTTTATTTATTTGTTTATTTAATTATTTGTTTGTTTATTGCAGGTTTTTTTGTGTATAACAAAACTACAAACGCTGAAAAGTATGTTAGTGAGATAAATGTATATCCGTATACTGTATTTACGTCGATTGTATATTCGCACTTGCTGGGACAGGACGTTAACGACAGAGCTAAATGACAAATATCCTGCAGACAATCCTGTAAACCAATCCTAGATTGTTGCAAACAAACGTCCGTTTTAGGTTTAACAGGAAAGTGCATGACAGAATCCAGGAAACGTGTATATCTAGCTTCCAACGCCGTGCGCTGACGCCTCGAACTACAAGCACGCGGCGGGGATTATGCCTGGGCGGGGTTCTGCTTGGGGCGGTTGTGAAACTAATTCGTCTGAACACGGCGCAAAAAAATGCCGTGTTTCGGAGTGAGATGCGTCACACATGCTTTAGTCCGCTTCTTTCCCTACCTGTAAGTCGTGGTGTAATGCAAATCCTGCCACAGGTACTTCCTCCATCGCAACACAGCTCTTCTCCCGGACATTCCAAGCTACTCTGACACTGCGTAGGTTGTGTCGGGCAGGCGAGTGTATCTACTGTTGGGCATGATCCTAGCTTGTTTGAAGTGTCTTCTAAATTCCAACGCAGATATCAATATCAGTAAAGCATCGTTTATACTAATTTATTCCTGCAAATTCGGTGATCCATAGAACTCCGCCGAATCCCCATATGAACTTTAATGGTGCCGTTTAAAGACATTTTGAGCAGCATGTCTGCGGTTTGTTTTCACCATGGGTTTTATATGATTTTTCCAGAAATATTTGATAATCATGTTTTTCTTCATACAAATTGTTGTTCATGACTAGAGATTGTATCAACAAACATATTTATCGTAACTGCTATACTCGACTGAGTTGTCCGCTTCAGAGCGCCACCACGCGTGTGCGCAATGTAGGCTATAACTCAAGGTTAGACAACTTGGAACCAGTACTGACAGTTACTCAGCATGCAGCCGAATTCTGTGGCTAATTATGAGTCACCGTGCGCAGGAAGTCTCGTTTTATGGCTGTGGTTTGCTGTCGCGGCAGTTTTTAGACAGACAGCTCACGAAGAACGCGTTGACACAGCGTACGAGGATTTACCAGCGTCACATATGGACGTAAAATAAGCGTAGTTCCATCTATAAAACTACAAAGCCCTATAGTTTTATAGTCGACTATTGGCCTATATGCGCGCAAATAAAATTGCCATGTTGATATGTCAATGTCATCTATATATGTCATTATGATATATAAGCAAGGTTAAATGTAATCGTCGTGTGATTTTCTCTATCGAGATGTGTAGCACTAGTACTACGTATACTCCGCGCACAACCACACATAACGTAGCTAAGGTCCTACTAGTCTTAGATGACCACTGGGCAACAAGGAGTATGAGGTAAATATTACGTAATAATTGTGTTAGCTTTGTGTTTTCAACGCTTCCGTATATGTCTATTATTATGTATATGTGTCAATTACTTACTGACATATATTACGCTGTTCGAGTAACAGCACCTCGTCGCATGTCAAACAAAACTGATCGTGTGGAATAGAGATATCTCAGACATGTGCGCGTACGCATTCGTCACGCATTGTCAACGTTGCGCATACCTCAGGGGAAAACACGAAGTATGACGCTCTTTAGCACATGAGGATATGTCGATTAGCCACTTTAAAGAAAAGTGCGTGTTGTCTCGACATGGCAGCTTATACAGCTCGCTGGTTTCCTTCGCTGAGATTTAACATTCGCTAATGTCCATGCCTTTATGCCCGGCATACAACTGAACGAAACGCGTCTCATTTATCAAAATTACCATTACTATTACTATTCTATACTAATTACTATTACTATTATTTTACTGTTACTATTATCATTGCCATTACTGTTACTATTATTATTGATTTTGCTATGGCTATTATCAATGAGAGTACCCTACTACTACTATTTTTGGGACGAATTCTGTTGTTGAGCCCATGCCGGTAGATTATGTAAAAACAGAATCGCTTTTCCATGCCAACACACAACATTGAGAAGTCTGTTACGCGCCTGTTCACAAAAACTACACTTACCTTGGCATTCGCCTTCATAAGCAAGTTTTAGGTGTAGTTTCTGCCCCTGGGCGCACTGCAGGCCACACAGATTTCCATACGTCACGCCATCGGTGCCACACTGTGGTCTATAGTCATGAGTACAAATGCAAGGAGATGGCGGTCGCTGGGTTGGCTCAACTCCTGAAAAGGCAGTAGTTTTTGTGTATGTTATTGTTGTTGTACTTGATATAGCTACCTCAATTGTGAGAGACATTACGAGACTTGACGAACTTTACTATTCATTCTAAATAACAACAACAATCACCAGTATTACTATTATTAATTCTATTACTATATTACTATTACTATTACTATTGCTATTAATAGTAATATTAATATTGCTTTTGCTATGGCTTTTACCATTGCTTATTTACCATTGCTATTTACAATTACGAATACTACTACAAGTGCACACGAAACAACATTATTTTGCCTGCACGCGCGTCCAGTAACAAGTCTGTTTTTGAGCCCATGCCCATAGATATTTAAAAACAGAATCACTTTTACATACCACTTACATAAGACATTGGAAGGCCTATATCGCGCCGGTTTACAAAAACTACACTTACCTTGGCATTCGCCTTCATAAGCAAGTTTTAGGTGTAGTTTCTGTCCCTGGGCGCACTGCAGGCCACACAGATTTCCATACGTCACGCCATCGGTGCCACACTGTGGTCTATAGTCAGCAGTACAAATGCAAGGAGATGGCGGTCGCTGGGTTGGCTCAACTCCTGAAAAGGCAGTAGTTTTTGTGTATTTTATTGTTGTTGTACTTGATATAGCTACCTCAATTGTGAGAGACATTACGAGACTTGACGAACTTTACTATTCATTCTAAATAACAACAACAATCACCAGTATTACTATTATTAATTCTATTACTATATTACTATTACTATTACTATTGCTATTAATAGTAATATTAATATTGCTTTTGCTATGGCTTTTACCATTGCTTATTTACCATTGCTATTTACAATTACGAATACTACTACAAGTGCACACAGAACAACATTATTTTGCCTGCACGCGCTGCCAGTGACAAGCCTGTTTTTGAGCCTATGCCGATAGATATTTAAAAACAGAATCACTTTTACATACCACTTACATAAGACATTGAAAGGCTTATATCGTGCCGGTTCACAAAAACTACACTTACCTTGGCATTCGCCTTCATACGCAAGTTCTATATCTAGTTTCTGTCCCTGGGCGCACTGCAGGTTACACAGATTTCCATACGTCACACCATCGTTGCCACACTGTGGTCTATAGTCAGCAGTACAAATGCAAGGAGGTGGCGGTCGCTGGGTTGGCTCAACTCCTGTAAATGCAATAATTCTACTTTTAATACAACAATTTCAACTACGCGAGCTATCATCCACAAATTTAACAAGCCCTAATATTTGTTTTAATGTTCAACACGGGGTAATGTTGTTCTAAACAATGAAGGGAACAACGCACTATCCACTGAGATGTGTCACCTCTATCAAAAGCGATAGCACCACCAATGACACTACCATCACCAATACCCAAAGCAGCAACACCAGCACCAGCACCAACACCCATACCAACACCAACATCATTACAAACAATAGACCAAACACTACAACCAACACCAACGCCAACGCCAACACCAACACTATCATTACCTTCACCATCGCACATAAATACCTTGACATTCCCCTTCGTAAGCAAGTTCCACGTCTAGATTTTGCCTCTGAGCACACTGCAGGTTACACAGATTTCCATAGGTCACGCCATCGGTGCCACACTGTGGTCTGTAGTCAGCAGTACAAATGCAAGGAGGTGGCGGTCGCTGGGTTGGCTCAACTCCTGTAAAGGCAGTAGTTCTAACTGATATAACTACTTCAACTGCGAGAGATATCGATAGCTATCTGTAAAGGTTTGACAAGCAGTATTACCATTACTATTACTACTACCATTACCATTACCATTACTATTACTAATACTATTGCTATTGCGGTTACCTTTATACTATATGAGTATTTCTTTATTATCATCATTATCATTATTATCATCACTATCATCATCGTCATCATCATCACCACCATCATCATCATCCCCATCCTCATCATTATCATCATCGTCGTCGTCACCATCATTATAATTATTATTATTACCAATAATAATACTATTACAGATGCGCATAAAAGAACATTTACCCTCACATTCTGCCATGAACGTTGATTCGAGCGCTGAGTTCCCTTCTCTCTTGGCGCAGTTTAGTTCGCATTCGTTTCCGTAAATTACGCCGTCTGTACCGCATCGCGGATCCCAAATTTGAGGGCACAGGCAGATGGGGATAATATCACCTAGAAATTTCCAACCTTTGTGTTGAAATTCCTACGTAACTCGTTTAGAAAATCTCTGTTATTTGGTTAAATAAGATAGTCGCGGGCATTGAGGAATGAGGATGTAAACGATCCGGATCGTAATATCGTCACTGAGCAGTTTAATCATATCGGCGGCTTACATCTCTTGGCGCAGTTTAGTTCGCATTCGTTTCCGTAAATTACGCCGTCTGTACCACATCGCAGATCCCAAAATTGAGGGCATATGCAGATGGAGATAATATCACCTAGAAATTTCAAACCTGTGTTGAAATTCCTACGTAACTCGTTTAGAAAATCTATGTTATTTTATTAAATAAGATAGTCGCGGGAATTGAGGAATGAGGATGTAAACGTAATATCGTCACTGAGCACTTTAATCATATCGGCGGCTTACAATTTGTTTGGTTCATTATCCCACACGCTTTTCACCCAACACTATACACTTGTAACGTTAAATTAAAAGTTTGAAGGATAAAATGATGAGGAAATCCAAACTTGTGTATTAAACTGAATAAACTTTAATATCTTGCACACAGTGTAGTCACATCTTGCACAGAGGGACAAAGAAACGCGCACACGCGCGTAAGCGCGTGTGCTTACTCTCGCAACCACAACCAGACTCCTCCACTCCTACATCTCTGTCTCCCCCGTCTCTCTAATCTCTCTTCTATATATTCCTCCCCAGCCTACCACACTAGTAGGAGGGGATATGTGTCAAAATTCAAACGTTCAATTGATCGATTGATTGTTCAATTGAACAGTCGTTTAATCATTCAAACGTTCAATTGATCGATTGATTGTTCAATTGAACAGTCGTTTAATCATTCAAACGTTAAATTGAACAGTCGTTTAATCATTCAAACGTTCAATTGATCGATTGATTGTTCAATTGAACAGTCGTTTAATCATTCAAACGTTCAATTGAGCAATTAAATAACGAATTGCCAAATTGAATCGCCAATTGAAAAATCAAAGGCACGAATACTGAATAGGCGTCTTGAATCATGGAATGGAGTCAATGGACAATTGAGCAATTGCCGAGGCTCGTCAATCGACAAATCAAACGTATACCTACTGCCAGGGGCGGATTAAGGCTCACTGGTGCCCTAAGCACTGACCAATCTTGGTGCCCCCCTCCTTTCCACACTGACCCAGTCCATTTTAGTTGTTGACCTGTCTAACCAAATATACAATGCAGGTTGCAGCAGTACAAAAATTTATGTAGGATTTCAAGGAGGGTGGTGATAAACAGGCGGGGGGTATGGGGGTCCTCCCCCAGAAATTTTTAAAAATGTAGATAGCAGGAGATGGTATTTGAGGCAATTTTGAGCGTACATGCATGTACACCTTCATTCTGACTACGAATCAATCTATTTGTTTTTTTACACGTTTTAATTGTGAGAAAGACCTCTCTGTTGTGCAGTTGGTGACCATTAATGTTAAAAATAATCTTAAGGCAATTTCAACATTTGGAAAAGCACTCTCTAGTTTGTCTTCTGTAATTGTGTTGTAAAGTTCCATGTGAGTGAAAGATGTTTTCTTGGTTGTTTTAAACTTATGAAGAACATATGAATGTCACTTCTGAAGCTCTGTAGACAAAGTGTTGTTCATGTCATCTGGATAAGCATCAATGAGTGTCTGACAAGTCTGAGTACCTTTCCATTTCTGATAATTAGGGGCATTAGGGGCCCCTTGTATTGTATTGTATTGTATTGTTGGGGGCCCCTTGTGGTACACCTGGGAAGTACAAATCTTTATTCGTTTTTTCTTCTTTTCACCCTTTTCCCAACTTTGTGGTGCCCCCTTTGGCCCTGGTGCCCTAAGCACGTGCTTAGTCTGCTTAATGGTTAATCCGGCACTGCCTACTGCACATGCGCACAGGGGCATGACGGAAGGCGCGGTAGCCCGTACGTTGCTAGGAACGCAATCGGCCGGCGTTTCCCAGCTAAGTGCGTGTACCCGCGTGTACGTGCGTGTATATCCCCTCCCATACACATCTGTCCCCCACATATGTAACTAACCCACAGCCCTATGTCACTACGCTCATTTCACAATGACCCTAGAAACGCGCGACCTATAACACGTTTACCATTCTCCCTATAACATCAATCTAGCCGCACAAGATGCGCGACGTTCTGTCTACATAGACATCTCTGTCTACATAGACTACCACCAAAACAGCCCTGAGGCTAGCCGCACTCCGCGTCTCTAACTAATTTATGTAACATCTGTAAATCATATGTTACAGACTCACGCTTATTTTTTGTACTCATCCGATGACATATATGTTGATTCATACTTGTAACAACATTTATTAAAGCTATTATCGTTAGTTAGTTAGTCCATGCTTAAAAGTAATTAGTTAGTCCATGCAATAAATCCATAATTGTTCATCCTCTTTTTAGAGAACCGAATCCAGTAAAAGTGACTGTACGTAATGCGCTCTACAGCCACTCCTAGTAGAACTAATAGTTGCGGAACATAATAGCACGGAACATAAATAATCTAGTTAATTCTGCCCTATTTTCTATTTAACAATAACGTGGGCACTGCGGGAGAAAGGAATTGGGCATTGTCCAGGGGCTGTGAGAACCTACTGTTGCAGTTGTGTGTCCCACTGACCGCAAACTCTTCTAAAGCTCTCCCGAAACGCCACATGAAACTATGAAACTCCACGGACTGCTACCTATTACTACTTACATGTACCTTCATTGCCTTCAATGTAATTCGCTCATATTTTATCGAAAAGAATTAATTGATCAACGGAACGATTTTATGGAATTATATCAAACTAGTCGATCAGTCAAGCATAAATATAAGTACGCTGTGCTCTCAAGCGTTAATTTAAGAGGGCAATCACAATCACGTACGAATGTTCACTTATTATATCGTAAAATGCCTTATTTTGCTTAAATATTTGTTTTGCGCTTTGCAGTTTCTAGCTTACATAAGCTACCACAACAGCTAGTAAAACGAAAAGTCTCGTCCCTGTGTCGTGCACGTGTGTGCGTGTGTGCGCGCGCGTGTGTGTGTGTGTGTGTGTGTGTGTGTGTGTGTGTAAGTGTGCGTGCGTGCGTGCGTGCGTGTGTGCGTGCGTGCGTGCGTGTGGTGCGTACCTGCGTGTGTGTTGAGAGGGTGTAGGTGTGTGCGTGCGAGCGCGCGTTACCGAGGGCCTGCCTGTTTGTCTCGCGGTGTTTACACATGCGTATCCTTTTACTCGGCGCCGCTTGTCAAGTTGCCGCCGATCGACAAGTCCGCGGGCAGATTGATCGGCTCTAACAGAATAAACGGGAACCCCATCAGATTATGTTTGTACCGAGTAACCATGATAATGCCAACCAAGGACACACGCAAGCGTGCACATGAACTAGTCTGCCACCCCCTTCTCCCGCTATCCGACCCCAGCTCTTTCCTACCACTTGTCTGTCTGTATATCTGTCTATCAGTCGATCTGCTTTCCTTCACTCTCTATATGCTCTCCCCTGCCTCGCTCTCTTTTTTGCCTGACTTTTTCTCTAGTGCTCTCTCTCTCTCTCCCTCTCCATCCTTATCTCTCTATTTCTGCAACTTTCAATCTCGCTATTTTTCTTCGACGGTCACGTCTGCATGCGTACGTGCACACGTTCACGCATGGTGATTTCAGTTCTAATTACGTAACTCATTGCGAATACCCTTTCACGCGTGTCACAATTGTTAGCTTCGCAACTATTTTTAATCAGCATCGTTATATGTGTATATGCAGGGTGGTAGTTACGGGTAATGTTAAAGTTAGGGACTGATGTTAGAACTAGGGTTAATAATTAGCGAATAATGTTATGGTTAGATTTATGTTAGAGTTGATAACGCGATTATTAAGATGCGAAGAATGCTAACATAGATCTGATGGTGTTGCGTTGTTTCCGTTTCCACAATGCGATTACTTTTCAATGGAATCCATCCCCGCTAAATACGAAACAATTTGTGCGAACATTCTAAACGCCATGCCAACAATTATATATTGACATTCGAATAATTCGCGGGTGAGAAATATGGCATGTCAAATAAATCGTCAATATAACGTAAAAAGCTTCGGCAGAGCGAGTAAGGCCCTGGCCTGGACAGATCTATAGATTAGAGCATGTATAAAAATAAAACTCGCGTGTTTCGCGTATAACAATAAACACGTAATTTTAGCTGAGATAATTGCCCAATTCTGATCACATGCGAAGGACGGTAGGCTCGTGTATGGAAGATGATGGTGCACACAGTGCAGAACAGTGCTGCATGGGTACTCACAGTATTCCTACCTTCATAGGAGCTTTGATGCGATAAGTATCAATCGCAGTAAAAAAGTCATAAAAATCTTATTATCAATGTATCAAAGAATCGTAGTTGGTGTTAAACACAATAGTGTTAGACGATTACCAACCGAAACGAAAGGGTGATTTGAACACTGATAAATAGTAACATATAAAAATAACACTAATATTAAATGACTATGACGTCGTCGTCGTCGTCGTAATAGTAGTACGTAGTAGTAGTAGTAGTAGTTGTAGTAGTAGTAGTAGTAGTTGTAGTAGTAGTCGTAGTCGTAGTCGTAGTAGTAGTAGTAGTAGTAGTAGTAGTAGTAGTAGTAGTAGTAGTAGTAGTAGTAGTTGTAGTATCATAGTATAGTAGAGCGGTAGGTAGTACTAGTAGCGTGTGGTGGTGGTGGTGTGCGCGGCAGTCGAGGTGTGGTTGTGATGATGGATGATCGGTGGTGGTGGCGAGCATCGGTGGTGTTGGTGGTGGTAGTGCATGGTGGTGGCTGTGGTGGGGGGGGGGGGGTCGGTCGCGGCGTTGGTGGTGGTGGTATTGAATCGTGGTGGCTGTGGTGGTGGTGGTGATGGTGGTAGTGGCGGTGGTGTTGGTGGTGGTGGTAGTGCATGGTGGTGGCTGTGGTGGTGATGGTGGTGATGGTGGAGGCGGCGGTGGTGTTGGTGGTGGTGGTAGTGCATGGTGGTGGCTGTGGTGGTGATGGTGGTGATGGTGGTGATGGTGGAGGCGGCGGTGGTGTTGGTGGTGGTGGTAGTGCATGGTGGTGGCTGTGGTGGGGGGGGCGTCGCTTGCGGCGGCGGCGGTGGTGGGGGCTGTTATCTCGATTATATGTGTGATGACCGTGATGGTAGTGCTGTGATGTCGTGTGATGACGGTGATGTCGTGCGCGCCCATCATTTATAGCGGGGTGCTGGTGGAAGTATACTTAGCCACTATATAAATTCTTCTTAAAACTCTTAGCACGCACGGCTGATAGCTAGCGTATTACTTACTGTCAGTCCCGCCCTCACGTCCTTCTCCTTCTCCTTCTCGTCTAGTAGGCGGTCTTCTGCCAGGTCTGCCAGGTGTTGAACCTTTTTCAGGTGGTCCTCTCCCTCTCCCTCCAGGAGGACCCTGGCTGTTCACGGTGACTACGACTAAGCATACTAACAGACCAACTAGAAATCGGTGATCCATGACACTGGTTCGCGCCATCGTGTAGACGTCTGCGCTCAGGGTCGCTACGCGAGTCTACGAGAGACTAAAGCGTGCCAAACCGCGATTCTGAGTCTGCTCGTCCACCCACTAGTGCCACTTGAGAGCATCCGCAGCAGGTCTTTATATAGGGATACTCCATCCGTCACGCTACGGATAACATAGACGGTCCCAAGTCTACGTTGATGATATAGTGGGTCTACCGCGTATGTGCGTGAGGGGAACGGGAAACTGCTGGCTTATGCTCGTCACTCATCTAGTTATATACGTACCTGGCGACAGCGGTATGCCTGCGTATCTTCTTGTGGTTGTTCGGACGTATACTAGGTTCCACAAACACGTCAAATGAAAACATGCTACTAATACAATTGTAACAGTGCGGCGCGTAGAGTTTGTAATTAGTAAAAGTATTGTATAAGAATCATACGTGATTTTTGTGTGCGTAGCCGTCAAGGTAGCAATGCAAGCCGTAAATGTGAAACAACATGTTTACACCGCGTTGGTGCACTCGTAGGCAGACTATTGTTGTATGGTACACTGAAATTAACCAGGAGCGCTCTAGCCAAGCGAGGCAGTGGAACTAATTGGCCTGTGTTTTGGCCTGGTGGTTCGTTGTTGTTTTGGTAATGACGCGGTAGGTACGGTCTTAGATATATGCGTAGCTTCACGCGTCTCCTAGCCCCGGCGAAGAACCGGTTGGATACAAAAGTCGCCGGGGATTTTTGGGAATCATATAAATAGACACGCTCGGACAGACAGAAAGGGGCTATTACCCAGAAGAGATACGGCGATGTTTATTAAACAAAGAGTTGGCTATGGATATGTGTTTACGATGTAGCTTAATTATAGCCGGTCCTATCGGTATTTTATGTTTCGTCGTTTGTTGCTTGTTTTCCTTTGATTAACAGATTTACTAACGTGTTTTACGCGGTAAGATGTATCCTTGTCTCGCTCACATTCCTAGCCTTTCCATGCCGATTCGAGTTGAGTTACCGTTGCAGACTGTCGACCCCTTCTTGTGATACGAAAACTGATCATTTTCACTAGACAGCTGCAACAATATCCCCCTCAATTCGTTTCAAAACCGAACATTCCATCCCTTCTCTGCCCCAAGGATTTACCTCACCATCATGCCTTAGACGAACGTTTTTTAACTTTTAGTTTTTTTTGCATAACTGTATTTTCGTGGGGACACGAATTCTTTCAAGAAGGAAGGAAGGATTGTTGTATTGTAGAACTGGGCTAATTAGGACTTGCGTCTATACGTCTAACCCTGGCTAGTTACTGTTGTTTTGTTGATAACATGGGACGTATGCTCGTGTATATATACCTAGCCCTACCGCGCACCCTAACGATTACAGACAATTGCGCGTTAATATGTCACTAATAGTAGAAGCTGCGGGGAGAAACTGGTTAGGATTGTGGGGCGTCCGGACGCTTTTAAGAAGCGTATAAATAGACGCTCGGGGCGACGCAAGACAGGAACCAAGTTACGGAGTACCTTAGTACGTGGACCATTCAAGATGTAGCGACGAAACAGAAGTGACGGGACCTAGTTAGGTTGCCGTATGTATGTATATATTTTGTATGTGTTACTAATAAAGTCATAGTTCAACAACGAAGCTGTGACTACGTCTACTGGTTATCTCTGCTATCAACGCTGCCACCTTCTACGCTGTCGACCTACGAGAACCCGAAGGCCTAATCGCTTTCGCAGTACAACACTATACTAGCCTATGTGTGAACGCCTGAATATGGCCTTGCCGATTTGGTATGATTGACGTATTTAGCATCAAACGGACCTTTACGCGTGAAAACGGATGGATGTCTTTTTATCGTATCGTTATCGTATTTTATCGTGCAGTGGGAGGCACTGTCCAACCCGGAGCTTTATATATTATTCCCTTGCACGAGTGGGCGACAGCAAATACTCCGCATAGACAAAATACTGACGGTGCATGTGCTATGCATGACCACGTAGACAAATCCTAATAATCCTCATAATTATAGGTATCTTTTTTGCTAGTTTGAACACTGGGTATATTAAAATTTGAGTAACGTCCGTAATCGTGGAAGATTGAGCAAGTCACTCTTTCGCAAATAAAAAAAACATCTAGTAATGAACCATGATTACTGAAACGAAGCTAGTAAAATTATTCCTCGACGTAGCAAAGCAATCATGGAAATCGAGGTATTGAATAAAATGTAGTCTTTACTATCGATCCAAAGCTATTCAACTTTTATTCGGTTCTACCTCGATCGTGTCAGAGCAAAGGTGTCAAAGGAAGGGCGCGCACTGAGAACTAATTGTTGTGCGCGAAGCCTCTTCAAAGGTTTTATAGGCATGTGCCGTTGCTATAAATGTAGCTCTGGAGAGGCACGGCATTTATTTAGACGACTTGATGTCAATTCATATAGTTCACGTTAATGGGTCGTTTTTGTCACACGTACCCAGCGCCTCTGCGCTTCAACGCTTAAATCAACTTGCGTAGGTGGACGAGAACAGTAGAGGCCTAGCGATATTTACATTGTGCCGTTGTGAAAAGCTTTGCAAATCACAAAAGAGCATCCTGGTCGAAATTGCACGTATACTTATGTTATGCGATAATTGCAAGCCACTTTGAGATGTGGAGAGTAAAAGGCGTTACCACTAATGCGACAAGAGTCAACAGTGCGCTCCGCTAGCTATAGCTTCAATTCAACGCAAATATATGTAAAGATGAAACTTATCACGAACTTGTATTTCTCGGTAGTTGATTCAGTTTCAGACGAACCCGGTCGCGGTTTCTCGCTCACCCGTTGCGCTTGAACCATAGAACTCCTCTACTGGGCACACGGACGCATACAGCCACGATTGCGGATTATATAAGACCGTATGGAGAAGGAAATGTGACGTGAAATGTCGTACATTAGTAGGAACATGTGCCTATTCTCTGGAAAATTTTGCCGTGTTCGCTTGGTAACTCGCAATTTGCGACAGTTAGGTGCATTCAATGGAAAGCGTGGACAGGATAACGCACTCTATGAATATTAAAACAACAAAAAGTTGACTGATACCCTGCTTCAATATGGTACTGGCAGGGTTGTTCTTCGTCATTCTTCTACGTAATAACGATCTCCATGTTTAGATAACCATTGGGTGGTACCAAGAGCGCATTAACCCCGCGCGTTAACGCGCTCTTGGTGGTACGTACCTCGTGCCAGGTTGTAAGTATATCAACGAAGAGACCATTCGTTTAATACATTCAAGAAGCATTGGCGTGGCGATTGGTTGGCAATCGATGCCAATACCATTGATCCATTACATATAACAAGATTTCACATACTATTCAATGACATTGTCATAATGAAGAATGAACCTAAATAACCTTTTTAACACTTGTTCGCTCGTTGTTTAACATATCACAATCATAGAACGATTGCTGAATGTTCAAAATAATCCACACAATGACCTCCCAGAATCCCCCGTAGATTAGTAGCCTTCGTAACTCCACAAGAATGCGCATGTCACCAGACACTGTAATAAATTTTATTAGTTTAAATATTATTAAAATTTATAGCAAAAATATCGTTTAGCGCTTGCGGAGTTTTGCGCATCGTATAAATTCTCTGATTGAAACTATATGATTAATACAAATCTGCAAGGAAGGGAGCTTCAAGCACACGTACTGCGCGATGGAATGTGTGGAAAAACATTTCAAGGGAAGAACTGTTTACTTTTCACGTTTATCATGTTTAACGATCTGTAACTACATGAAATGATTTTGCGCATGTACAGACCAAGATTGCCAATTTAGCGAACAAATGCAAACGCGTTCGTTGTATGGCACACACAGAAGTCTCATATTATCATATATTAAAACTGCTTAATATTGTCAATGTACGTCGGCGGCAAACAGACAAAATACGTCTCGCGTGCGTTAGACACAATAGGTATACCGGTGAGACATGTTGATAATGCAGCTCGGGTATTTTTCTCGGAACCGTTTCTCTTTGCCGTAAAAAGCAATTTCTGTTCCACGCTGAGCTCGCCCACACGACTTTGACACGGTTCGTTACACCTTAAAACTTGGTATCTCCGGCGAGGTCCGCCCACTGTTTGTTCAATTTCAGGAGCCTATAGCGAAGTAGGTCAATCCGGCTGTCCCGGAGAGCCTTGATTTACGTTTATTATGATAAGGGATTTATTCTCATTCCTCCGACTCATTTGTGTTTCGCGCAGTCAAACTGGTATCTGAGACAGAACCACTCCCATCATCGGTAAACCACTCGAGGCGACACTCGCAACAGCCATGCATATTCGTATGTCATTGGTTAACCTCCACAGTTAGCCAATTATCAATTTCATCAGATCTACTTCTGATTTCATTCACACGTTTTTATCCCGTCTCTATAACCAACCATGTTTAAAATGGTTTTTAAACGACTCATCAACCACCATAGGTTAAAAAAAAGTACTAGACGTGGTATCGAAATTATCACACGGGAAATATTAATACATCTTTTATGGGAAGATAAGGAAGGAGGAAAATTAGAGGGAAGAGGAGGAACGGTGTATCAGACGAGCAAGCATGCAAGAGGGACGAACGAGATGCGACGAAATCGGATAAAGGAAAAAAAATGTAGAAGTAAGGAGTGACGGAGGAAGATTTAAGAAGGGGAGCCAAAGAGGAGGGGGGGTGAGAGAAGCAAAGTACATAGATGATAGGAAGATGAATATCTTCGTGCAAGCGATAGCTGCGACACCGTCTGGGAAAATGATGATTTACTGCACATACAACTCGTGCACGTGTGAGAGCGAACCCGCGTGCATGTTTCATTATAAAGTCCCCGGATAAAATTACATGGTATATCATTGTTATATAACAGAAATAGGAAGACTTATTAACCCCCACCAGTGCTGCCACTCAGGATATTACAAAAAAAGTATAAATTCTGTCCAGAAAAAAGTTTCAAAATTGCCTAAAAAAAGAATAAATTTGTACCAACCTACCTACCATGATTTGTTACCAATTATACCTCATTACCGAATACATTATAGCCTATGTGCAGCATGTGAACAAGCTTTAGGAATGATGTGTGCAATGTCATGAGGAGTTCTCTTGAACTCTCAGTTTGGAATATTTCAATGCAGTGTTTCCCTTGGCCAGAAAAAGGTCTGTAAGGCGGTAAATGTTTGTGTAGCGTGTTTGTGTGTTGCGAGGTCCTAGCACAGTGAGCAGTGGATGTGCTTGGCCAGCTAGGGAGGTCAGGGGGCATGCTCCTCCAGGAAATTTTTGAAAAAATGGTGCAATTTGGTGCATTCTAAGCTATTCTGGACACATTGTATGAGACTCTTGAATCTCTTTTTCAAGTTATCAGAAGTTTCGTCAGCGAGGCGGTGCTTTGG